AAGAGAAAACTAAACGATGACGATGGTAAAAAGTCCAGTGGCGCTGCTCAGAAAAAGGTGAAGACTGAAAATGTACGTTTGCTTGTTTTTTGATTAACCCCGTAAGACCCCTTGAAAATCCGTTCTGGTCAAACTGCTCATATGCATGCATAGTAGAGGTAGCTGATATGGTTAGAGTTAGATTTCATCTAGACTCAGCTGTTTTCACATGCGTTGGATAGAGAACATGTTTAGGGTGTGTGTTTTCCCACAAAAAAATGTGTGTAGGTTCGGGTAATTTGGTTGTAGAAAGTAGGGTGAAAATTGGTCAAGAAAGCGAAGTAAAATGTCAGAAACAATCTTGTTTCCTTGGTAGTTGGTAGTGTATCCTTCCTACCCTGGCAAACAGTCCTCAAGTGTTAAGTGTCGTAAGATACATGGATCTGATAATGATCGAATACTTGTTGATGGATCAGAATACTGATTGGATACTGATTCTAGTATTCGTGTTTATATTTGACACACGCACATAAACACCCACCAAATTCTGTTGTTGGGTCCATTTTATGAATGGATATTGGAGTGGTCGTTCTTCAGATATTTGCATTTTGTATCCTCTTATTACGTGTTCTCTCCTTCAGTAGACAGGAAGTAGAACCTTTGGCTGAATTGTTGTACACTATTCTTATCATTATTGTTTTACATCAGGAGACGAAATCTTCGGTGAAAGAAGAGAGGACAGCCCCGGTTTCGAAATCAAGCGCATCGAAAGCTGTGAAAACGGAAGCAAATTCATCAGTGGGATCATCGCTGTCATCGACAGCCTCAAACGCAACAGGACCAGTGACTGAAGACGAAATCCGAGCGGTTCTATTGGAGAAGAAACAAGTCACCACACAGGATCTTGTTTCTCGGTTCAAGTCAAGACTCAAAACCAAAGAGGTACGATTTTCTTTCTCTTCTCCCATCTTATCTATATATATACTATACAACATTTAGTCGAAGAACCATGGAGAAGGGAATTCTATCTAAATAAATGCCCTTGTTGGAGAAAACATGTGTTTTCGGGATAATGATGTGTAATGTTATGTTATATGTGTTAGGACAAGAACGCGTTTGCAGATATTCTGAGGAAGATCTCCAAGATACAGAAGAACGCTGGGTCTCAGAACTTCGTCGTTTTGAGGGAGAAGTGAGTGTAGATCTGAAATGCAAATCTCAAAACCTGTTGCTATGTTAGTTCAATTCTCCATCTCAGCAAACCCGGTTCGGTTTGCTTGACCGGAGCTGAGGTCGAGCATATATGATAATAAACCTGGTCTTGGTTTAATCTCTAATCACCGTGTGTTTTGTTGGTACTCCCCTTGCCTTGGTTGGTTGTTAAATGATAAGGAAAACGTCCACGACAAATCATTTAATCACTACTTTATAGGACTGGGCGAATAAAGCTAATTTTTTGGATATTTGATCCATAGATGAAAATTAGGTGTTGATGCTGTCGGCGTCGACAATGATGAAAATCCGATCTTCCAATCGAAAACTCACATCCATAAATACCATCATTTGAGTCTACTACCCAGACCCAGTACCCAGGGTTAAGGTCGGAATCGGTACAACAGATTCCAAACCAAATCCCAGAATCTGACAGACTCGTGTTGGAGATTCAAAGAAAAAGAAGCCTAAGCCTCTGATTGATGAAGAGGTACAGGAAAAGGCTCTGACATCTTTGCTGTAGAACGTTTGCATCTGTACATTTCAGAACCAAAGTCCCAAACAAATGAGATGTTTTTGCGTGAAGAGAGTAAAGGGGATGGGAATGGGGGATATCAATAAATCATAACCAAGACTTCAGAACTGAACCCCACACAGTTTCTTCACTGGCTTAAAGCTCACAAAGGCAAAACGACCGTGAGAATCAGGACAAGAAACAAACCCAAAATCCAAAAGCCAAAAATTATGGTACACACATTCGAACAATTGATAAAACCCCATGACAACCAAATCCCTCCTACTCGCATCCAAAAAGGGATTTGGTCAAAGAGGATGCCCTGAAACAACTTTCAGAAAGCAAACCGTTTTCTGTCGGATCCATAAGACCTAATTAAAAAAAAAAAAAACTAGACTCGGCGTTACAGTTCACCACTCCACCTGTCCACCTGCAAAAAAGAAGCTCTAGTTCTGACAAAAACGATTCCTTTCTACCCTTATTCCTTACTGGGCTTTTGGCTTCTCAGACTTGACATAAGGAAGCATTCCCATAAAGTATTTTACTTTCGGGTTCCAACCTCGCTGCTGAGCACGGCAGAACATCAGGAATGTGTTTGCAAAGTAAGAATTGAAACCCATGAAGAGATGCCACAGAGCATGGCCCTGAGGGTTGACAGGCCACTGCGATATCGTCTTGCAGAAAACACGGTCACAGAACCAACAGACACTCCCCATGATAAGAGTAAAGACATACCACTTTGCAAGACGTTTGGCTGCTGTATCGTCGGTGTGAATGTAGTATTTGTACATCCGAGGGATGCAAAGAAGGCAAAGGATCACATAGTGGACCTTGAAGCCGACGCCAAACCGGACAAAGGCGTGGACTATGGCAAATGCAGCTCCGTAGAGGAAGAGAAAAGTGGGCATAGTACTCCGGTAATGCCAATCCGGTGAGTAAAGGATGTACATGTACAGAAGTATCTCCCAAACCATAGGTGTCTCGTCACTCTGTTGTTGCCTGCATGAAGACAGACATAATCATAATCTGGTCTGTTATGAATACAAAACTGAAGAACAAGACGGAAAATTTACGGGATTTCCCCAAAGAATTCAATACTTTAAACCAAGATGCATACAAGTTGATCTGGCAAATTCCATGCAATCTACCAAACCCATAACTTCAAATCACAGGATGTGTAGGCCAGGAAATCTACATGTTCAAGCACATTTACAAATTCACCATTGTTCTTCATTCCAATGTTTGGATATATAACCTATGACAGAAGTCAGTCAACAATTCCAGAACGGTAGTGTCATAGTCTGTACTTACACGCGTTGCAAAGTGGCATGGTAGAGCATGCTACCGATACCAAGTATCATATTGGATATGTGAAGAATGCTAAACCGCTTCTCGAACCCTTGCCTTAGTGCATTGAAAAGACCGATGAGAGCCAAAAGAATCCCGGGGGCATTAGATATAGTGTTGAAGAACTCTGCAATATACGACGAGTACACATAGTTCATCTCACAACACTCTATAGTAGAGGTCACGGGACCCCAGAAGCTCGATATCCCATCATCCATCATAACCAGTTGATATGTATCACTACAGATATATTTTGCAGAAACTAGAGAATCACAACAAATGTCTTGGAGATTTCAAACCACATCCTGCAGTAAACAAAAACACACTTCAGAACACCAAATTTCATCACAAAAGAAGGAAGAGAAGAAAGAATTAAGACAAAATCCCCAAAGGTATCTCTCAAGGATTCCAACGGAAATGAAAAGGACAACCTAAGAGACCACTAAATAGTTTCAAAATAGAACTTGTAAAAGCACGACACAAACAAACTACAGGAAGTAAGTACTAATGATGAAAACAAAACCACATGAGAATTTGAAAGATCTCGAGATAAATATAAAACATAATTGAATCCATTACCAGATCAAATTACACACAGAAAACCCAAATCACACAAGCAGTAACAAACTACAGGCGAATTCCTTTGAATTAACGGCATAGATCCATCACCAACTCAAACAGAGATGCCCCTCCAATTAAACACGAGAATTCAAATGTTACCAAGTTATGGTGCAATGCCCAAATCCCTAAAAATTCCAAAACGAAATCATCTCTGGTTAAACAACAACGCCTCCTCAGGCAAGAGCAAGGCGATCCAAGCAAACTAAACAGATCTCACCCATCAAACAAGCATTAACTCGATATCCGAAATTCAAAGACCAGACGAATCGAACACCAGAAAACCACCGATCAACCACGAGGAAACGAAGCCATTCCAATACGAGGACAAACCGTTTTCAGGCGATACAACAACGGAGATATACCCTTTCTCTCTCCGTCCCCAGAACGGTAAAAACCCAGAGCTTAGATGAATCCAGCCACGGCGGATCAGCGGTTTCTTCTTCTAGGGTGTATACGCGTGCATTAAAAGATCGGAACAGATTCTCTCGAAGGGAGGAATCGGGGCGAGAGACGAAGATTACTCTTTCTTTTCCTTACTCGCGGTATTTTTTTTTCCTCGCGGCCTCTTTTTTTTTTTTGTTCGGCTGCTGAGGTGCAAAGGGCATTTTCGACTTTTCAAGTTCCGGAATTTTGGAATGCTATGCGACCAAAGAGCGTTCCACTTTGGTGACGACGTCATCGAGCATTGAATAATATAATAAGACTCAAACATGATTCATGAATATGTTGATTTACAATTTGAATAGAATAATATTTAAAAAAAAACTCAAACAATATGATTCATGAATATGCCCATCACAATTTGAATTTTCTTCAAATTTAAAGAAACAAATAAAAAAACGTGTAATTGTTCAAACAATTTTCTTCGATTTGAACATTGAATAAAATGATTGTGTAAAGATTTTCTAAACCAAAAGTGCCATATAAATAGTGCTTAAAAATCCCAACTTTTTAAAACGCATGTAATAGCCCCGAAAGTTACCATATGTGTAAATTACATACGTTTATATAATATACTTAACAGTAATTGTTCAAACGATTTATAATTGTAATTTTTTTTTTATCACTGAGTCAGAAAAATACGGACACATTTTAAAGAAAATGCATACATACAATTTCTTGATATGATTTCAAGAAAGTTTAATACTCTCTCTGGTACGTTTAGGGTTTCTTTACACTCCCAAAAAGAGATGAACTATTTTAATCCGACCCTTCTTACAAAACCCCGTTCAAACGTTTTTGCAACTGTTTTAACTAGGGTTTAGGGCTTGTAGAGGTTACAGTTTATGGCTACTAGGTGACAGGTTTTCCAAGTTTGGGTTTTTGAATTCTAGGGTTTTTTTCATAGGATTGGGATTTAGGGTTAACGGTTTCCTCTCAGATTTTAGGGTTTGGGGGCATATGAGATTTCCCAAAAGGAAGTCATATTTTTATTTATTTATTTAAATTTGCTGTTTAGTAATGCGTTCTGCTCATTAAAAAAGAACCAGATCCAGACCCCAAATCAATCTCACAAAGCTCTAACAAAAAAACAGGACAAATGATTGTCTTGAAACCCTGTTTTTATATTTCTGAATAAATTCCTCATTTCAAGTTTGAATAAATTCCTCATTTCAAGTTTGAATAAATTCCTCACTCCAACAGTGAAATCCTTCAGTCTCTTACTTGTCACATCTTTAGTTCCACAACGTTTGAGCAAGTTTTCACGCTTGAAAATTCACCCATCATCACATCAAAATAGTCGGGTGGATGAATTGCAACACAAACCCGTTCAGAATCTGCAACGACTATAGGCATCCATAGACGCAGATCTGCCCAGAGACCGAGAGCAGATCGCCTGGAGAGTGCCCAGTCTCGATCTTGAGAAAGGGTCTCTCAAAACAGCATTTTCTTCCGCCGTTTTCTTCTTCTCACCCTTCTCCCAATCCTATTCATCCCACCCATAAAACAACAAAAAACTCAAAAGATTTCGAAAACGAAAAGAGATGTAAGAAGCTCGGTAAGCAGATGGGTCGATCGGATTAGCGACCACCGGCCAGTTAGCTTCTCGCTCAGATTTTCCATCTTGCTACAGCCGATTCGGCAAATTCAAGAACAAGGGTGTTTCAATCGATCACGAGCCCTTCTCTTGGTACATGCAGCATTGCGATCCACAACCAGAAATAAAATTTACGAAGCGGGATCGCTTCACTGACTCAAAAAAACGCTAACCCTAGATTTTTTACTTCAAAGAAAACTATTCGAAACCGTAACCCTAGCCGTCGAGGACGAGGAATGAGACAGCACTACTATTGCGAAGCGATGTTTATATAGGCGGTGTATGGGGGCATAAATGTCTTATTGCCTTTCTCCTTTCCGTAAGGTGAAGCCACCTTATGATTCAGAGTCTCTAATCGGGAAGTTATAGGATATTCTGGTTTATTCTAACCCTAAATTGATAATCCACTAAGAAACCAACACGTGTCCGATGCGTTATATGAACCCGCTAAGTCGCCTAGAGTCTTCAACCAGAATAGAAAGTAGTTGTAGGATACTCCGGGTGTACTGCAAGCCACAGAGATTTCTCCAATAGAAGAAGCACACGTGCCCTTTGTGTTATTTCACTGACTAAACCCATCAAAGGATTTCATTATCCAGACCCAGAAAATCTGGGAATCCAATACAAATCAAAGCGTGAACATCATAACTGGAAGTCCAAGCAGAAAGAAAAGATTCAGTTTGCAAGAACTACGATCAGTTTTCAAGAAGATTCAACAATCTCCATAATCGTCTTCGTCATCGTCGTTTGATCATTCATTTGTAACAGCAGGCTCTGCTTCAGATGAATAATCATGCCTGAAAAATAATAAAAATCATAATAGCATATCGATCATCATATTGAGAAAGCCCAGAGATAGAATCACAATCCAAAAATGGGGTCAAGTTTTTTTTTTATGGTAATGGTGAAGTTTGATAAAATAGATAAGAGGGTCATCATCATGTTCTCAGGCAGATCCGAACCTTCATATAACAAACTTAATTACTCATTTTCCTCCGATAGGTTCATGCAAAGTGTGTCTAATGTATTGCCTTCATGGAACGTAAGAGGTGCTCGGAGTTTTTAGTTGTTCTTACTTGATTTTTCGAGCGAGTTGATAGATGCCTGTCCCTGCCATGGCAACGTTCACACTGAAGAGGTTCCAGTTTTTCTGTAAAAGAAAACAGTCAAATTCGAGGGAAATTAAATAACCCGGATCTCGTAACTCGTAAGAGGACCATTACATAATCGAAGGAGATGAACGCGGTAAGACAAACTTGGATAAACACACACTTATAGATTCAAGATACATATGATCCAAGATTCCAAATCAGAGATTTAACAAACTTAGATACAAGAGGATAAAAACACAAACTTAGATTCAAGATACAGAGGGATCCAGATGAAAGGACCACAAGGAAAATTAAGTATAAACCACCAAGATTTAGAGTCTTAACTTAGGTTTAAAGGAAGAAGTAAGCAAAATCAGAGCTTAGCAAAAAAAAAAAAGGACAGTGCTTTTTCGGGTAGGAAAGCTTACAGGAGTGATCACAGTGCTGTATCGTGACCAGACAACTCCAGTGCATGCGACCGCTGTTATACAGAGGAGAAGAGAAATATTGAATCACTGAAGAGCGGCAATTCGATGGAAGTGATCAAGAAGAACAAAATCAAGAACAAGATAAGCATGCGTGGATATTACTAAAACAAGGAACAAAAATCGCCAAGAACACGGAAGGGTAATTACCTATCTGTTGAGGGTAAGAAAGTTTCTCTGGAGGTTTCGAGAAATCTGCAATGTTAGCAATGCTGATTCCCCACTTAAAGGTGGGCGCCCAGAAATGAACTGATTCACACAAAAAACCCGAGCACGATTCATCGTTAATGGCGATCTATTGCAAAAACTGTGATCAATCTATGGAAACCTACTTTCATTGTTCCACGAAAAGTAATTGGAAACAACCCTATTTCAATGGCGAAAACAGAATGATTTATGTAATGGAGAATGCACAAACGTGTGCAGCTTCTGCAGAGAACATGAATCGAAATGATCTGAAATAAAAGAGATATCATCAAACCCGAATTTCAACATCCTCGATTCCTCGCCAAACGATAGATTCCCTTTACTTTCAGGGAAGGCCGGTTGTTTATCCATTATTAGACCATCAAAATTCCTGCATTCTCCTGGATCGTAGGAGTACTAACAGATACATGCTCGGATTCGAAAATTGTCCGGAGAGGAGATGACACGGACGCGATACAACAAGGGTAATTTCAAAATCGATGGATGTAAAACAGCACGGATTAAGAATTCGGAGATTTCGATGGAAACAACCCAAACCAGGAATTGATGAAAAAAACGATCAAACGATAGAAAAAAAAAAGAGGAAGAAGAGTTTGACTGACTGGTTTTGGGTCCGGCAGGGTGATTCCAAAGAGCTTGTAGCTTGGAAGCCGCCATGGATGATTTCCTTCGACCTCTCTCCGAATTGTCTCCCTTCTTTTCCATCCCCTCCACCTGCCTTATTGCCCTAAAACGGCGTCGTTTTTGGGAAAACGTATTTTCAATATGAGAAAATCCTTGGTGAATAATACAAATTATAATAGTAAATAAACGCTTGGTGTGACACACACAACGCACGACATAAGGCGTTACAATAAAATAATATGGTTATTTTACAATGGAATTATGAGAATATTTTTCTTCGGGTTTGCATCATCATTCATTAACGGCAAGGGGCCTCGCTTCAGATGAATAATCATGCCTGAAACATATATAATAAAAGGATCAGATTATATAAGAACAATCGATGCAAATTCAACGAATCTAATTAATATATACATATACATATATATATATTCAATGTGTATTCTCTCAAATCTCTTTAGCACTTTGAAATCGTGTTGATTTATGTATTGTTTATATGTACACTCTTAAAGGTAATATGGAGGAAATTCCGAACGATCGTTCTTACTTGAGTTTTCGAGAAATTTGATAGAGGCAAGTCCCTGCAGTGGCGAGGCTCACACCGAAGAGGTTCCAGTTCTTCTGCAAAACCAACAAGCCAATAGACTGCATTGAATCAAGACACAAACCCTCATTTGTCCCAAATCACAATCCTTTTTTTTTCAGACAATCCACAAAACCTTACCGTTTTTTTGAAGGAAATAAAAGAAAAAATGGATCGGAACTTGCTTACCGGAGTGATCACAGTGCTGTATCTTGTCCAGATAATCGAGCTGGCTGCCACCGCTGTTGGATCACACAGTCGAAGAAAAGTTTTTTGAGAAAGAAAGTGATCCAGAAGAGAGAGGAGAAGAGTTCTCTTCTAATACATACGTAATGATCAAACCTCCGTTCTTGAACGAGTTTTTATGGTGGAATCAGGGTTCGGGCTCATATCAAAGACAAAATGATGAATTCGGATCTAACGAAGCAATTCTAAGTCCTAACACAAAAGGGCAAAAAGATCAAGAGCATTTCTTGCAATACAAGCATTTTCGAAATATCCAATGGCCAGAACACTAAAAAAACAGGTGTGTGTGTATATATATATATTACCCGTTTGCTGAGGGTATGAAAGTTCATCCGGAGGTTTCTCGAAGTCTACAACGTTAGCAATGGTGAGTCCCCATTTAAATGCTGGTGCCCAGAAGAAAACTGCAAAGAACGATTGGAATTGGAGCCAGAGGGATTCAACCATTATGATACCTCGAGATTTTACATATTACGTTTCTCAATTTCAAGGTACAAAGGTTTCCAGACATCAATCAAACCCTTTGAAACAAAATCATATGGTACGGATACTGAAACAGATTCTCGTCACGCGCACTAGAAGAATCTCAAAAATCGCTTTAGGATGATCCACCTGTCCCGATCATAATATCTGATGATAAAGAATTGAAGGAGAGAAAGAAATCCGAGTTGACTCACTGGTTTTAGGTCCCGCGGGGTGATTCCAGAATGCCTGCAGCCTCGATGCCGTCATCGATCTTCTCCTTCAGGTGCTGTCTCTCCAATTATCCCATACTGTCTCGAAGAACAGATCAAATGATCAGCAATGGTTTACTTGTATTACGAAACTTCCATGAAAACGCTCTCTTTCTGGTAAACGTCGTCGTTTTCAGCGATGTGTGACCTGTGGAAAAATCTCATAGCTGACGTCTGGTGTAGGAGGCGACTGACCACTGGAATGGCGCCACTTTCTTATTTTTTAATTTAATTATTTTCGTTCTCTTTCACTTTTTTTAGTAATTAATATTGTAATTCAGGATTATGATAAGGGGTATTATAGTCCTTTTATTATCTTTTTTTTTTTTTCTCTTCATGACCGTCTTCCATTCGGAGGAACTTTCAGAGATTTCCAGTTAAATGGCGATGGAAAATTCGCTCTTAAAATGCGACCAAATTCGCTGAAGAAGCCGATTGTTCTTCTTTCGGTGTCACTCTTGAGCACCATCTTATTCGTGATCTTCTTACAAGGCAGGCCCTACTCGTCGTCTTCTTCACTGGAATCAGACGCCATGGCCCGAAGCTTCATCTTGTGGCTCCACGGGCTGGGCGATTCGGGACCCGCAAACGAACCCATCAAGACATTATTCAAGTCCCCAGAGTTCAGGAACGCTAAGTGGCTTTTCCCTTCCGCTCCTTCCAATCCGGTCTCCTGCAACTGTACGATTTTCCTGGGTTTTCGCTTCTTCTTCTTTTTCTCTCCCTAATTTTGATGTTGTAGATATTGAAGGGTGGTTTGTTTATGTTCTCTGGGACTGGATCTCTGGGTTTTGCTCAAATTTTGTCTTTGATTAAGCCGATGAGATAAATCGATACCTTTATTGATGTTGTGAGGGTTGACTTGTTTCTGATAGTTGCTTTTGTTGTGGGATTAGCAATGGGATTCCTTTCGGTGAGTCTGGTAATTTGATATGAACATTAGGTGTAATGCCTTGGATTCTGGATTCTCTCTCGTTTCTCCTCGATGTCTCACTTTTTGGGTGAATTGTTGTTGCCAATGGGTATCTGACTCAGTTCAAAATGATTGCTGAAAGTGCAATTTGTTTGACAGTCTCTGCATTGTTGTTAATGTCTTTTGTTCTTTTGGTTTGGTTCATGGTGTAGATGGTATGGTGATGCCTTCATGGTTTGACATCCCTGAGCTTCCTCTTACAGCGGTAACATGTCTTTCTTGATCCAACGATCTAATTCTATACAACCATCTTGCTAATACTACAACAAACATCTTCTTAGTATGTCAATGTATAGTTATGCGGTTGGTTTATTATCATTCTCGAACCTATTATGTTCTTACAACAGCAAAGATCCAATCCTTATGATAAGACTTGGACAAAATTTCCTACTTTATCGTATGTGGTTCTCTCTTGAAACGGGATAGCCCGAGCTTCAGCTGATATGCTCTGTTCAGTGTTTTTTCTTGTTATTACAACTGTTTTATGCTCACACCAACGAAATTCTGTAACTTTTATGAATAATATTCTTTTGATTCCTGGTTGTCTCGAGTGGAACTTTCTCAGAAGGTGTAGGGTTCATACACACCCTTGGATTATTAAAGGATTTAAGTGATCAGGTATAAAACTTTGTGTATAGGGCTCTCCAAAAGATGAAAGCAGCGTGCTTAAAGCCGTTAAAAATGTGCACGCCATTATAGACAAGGAGATTGCTGGGGGAACAAATCCAGAAAATGTGTATATCTGTGGATTTAGCCAAGGAGGTGGATATCTATTGCCCCATAGCTGCAGATTTCTTCATCTGTTTTCCCCATTTTCTCGGAATTTCTATATGGGTTTCCCCATTAGTACAACAGTCTTTGAATCGATAGAGAGACCCTTTTTCTTCTTTACAACTTCTGAATCTGTATGATTCTATACATTCCACTTGCTGACAAAATTTCTGTAGGCGCTCTAACCCTGGCTAGTGTTCTTCTTTACCCAAAAACTCTTGGAGGAGGTGCCGTCTTCAGTGGATGGGTTCCATTTAATTCTTCGATCATCCAAAAGTTTTCTGAAGATGCTAAGAAGGTTCATCTGTTCTTCTTCTTCTTAAGAAGAACAATGTTTCATTTGTATTGATTTTGGTTTCTAAATCTCTCTATATTTCTGCTATGCAGACACCAATCTTATGGTCCCATGGAATCGATGATAGGACCGTGCTCTTTGAAGCCGGTCAGGCTGCTCTTCCTTTCCTTCAAGAAGCAGGCGTGACTTGTGAGTTCAAGGTATAATCAAACCAAACTCATTACTGCGGTACCTTTTATTCCGCTTCGTCCATCATTGCTTTCGGCTTCAGGCCGGGACAACCTTGTACAACAGAGAAAAGACTTCCAAACAGCTATGGCGCTTGTTTCGCCCAAAACCCGTTATCTATTGCTTTTTTTTTTTGTGGGCCTTTTATCGGTTTTATGTTCCATGGCTTCCTTGCATCAGTGAAGAAACCCTTTGACTTGCATGATCTGCTCAGAAAGAATCCAAAACTTTTCCAGACACAAAAGATCTAAACCCAAATGAAGTGATAAACTGAACAGTAGATTACGATAATGTCTATTTGCAGGCATATCCTGGTCTAGGGCACTCGATCGCGGACGATGAGCTCAGGTATTTGGAGTCATGGATGAGGCAAAAGATGCAGAGCTCTTCCTCTTAGACGTTTCAATGCCCTAAACCTCATTCCAAGGTGACGGACATACTTTTAGATGCCAGTTCTCTTCCTGAGGATGAGAAACATTTTAAAAACTTCAAGTTCAAGAAACATAAAACACTTCCAGACAGTGTCTCTGCTTCATCTGTGTGTCCCTTTGCTTGTTTTACTTGTTTTCATGTGTTTTTTTTTCTTTCTTTCTTTGTTATGCGTTGAAATGGCATTATGGAGACAAATGTAACATTTTTGCTATAAAATAATCATAGGATTCTCCTAGGGAGTAGGAGCATCAACTGACTTTATATGATTTTCCGTAATTACCCCTAATTGCATCTAAATCACAGAATCTTCTCGACACTGAAGTGAGACTGCTATAATCGAATCTAACGTGTTTGTGTGTGTGTATATATATATATATATAACAGGTTTTAAAATAAATTATATATTGTATACAAAATAAAATCCAAAAAAGTATGGAAGATGTTTGATTTTAAACAAGTTGACATGTAAGAATCGCTATAAATGTGATCCAATGGAAAAGGAAGTATCCAAGAATAGGGGCCTAGCCTACCATCTTACCATACAAAATTAATTCACGTTTTTTTTTGTTTTTATTTATTAAATTATTTGGGGTGGACAAATGAGAGCCGTTGGATCTGAATGATCATAGATGCGACAGAATCGATGGAGATGTGATGGATGAAGAGGGGATCTTCGAGTGCAGTGCAGTGGCCACTCTCCTTTGAACAACTCTTGTGTTTATGTGACTATGTGAGTACCCACTCATCTTTTTTTTTTATTTATACATACGTATTTATATATGTATCTCGACAGATTTCATTTATTTATTTTTATGAAAGAATAATAAAATAATACACAAAACTATGCATACATAAAGAAAGTGTAATTCTTTTATACAATTACAAATAGTAATTTCCATTAGTCTCTTCAAGACTACTTATCCAAAATTTTCAGAAGATATTGTTTTATTATTTTATTAGATAGACCGCGTGTGTGTGTGTGTATATATATATATATTGAATTTTAGTTATGTTTAATGAAGAGGATTTTTATAAAAGAGAAATTGATGTGTTTGTAACTTCTGAGCGTGCGAGAAGAAGAAAGGTGAAGAGGTCCTGTGAATAAAAAAGGCTTGCATCGCCATTTTAGGAGCCGATGGTAATATCGTTATTACGACATATTCAGATACCCATTCTCGTCATTTCGCCTCTCCTACGCCCTTCTTTCTCTCTCCACCTTCACTGCCTCTCACACTCTTGCGCGCGCGCACATTCTCTCTCTCCTCTGAAGCATTCAAAGAGTGAGGACTGTGTGGTTCTCTTCTCTGCATTTCGCTCTCTCTCTCTCTCTCTATCTGGAAATGGGTAGTCGGATCCAATCCCACCAGCTGAGCAATGGGTTGTACGTTTCGGGTCGACCCGAGCAGCCCAAGGAGCGACCACCGACAATGGCGGCGCGTGCTGCGCCTTACACCGGCGGCGACATCAAGAAGTCCGGCGAGCTCGGAAGAATGTTCGACATTTCCATCGTCGATATCACCTCGTCCCAGGTGCCATATCCGCTCATCGTCGGCGGTAGCAGTGGAGCCACCGGGACGCCACCGTCGAGAGTATCTTCCGCCGCTTCGTCGAATCCGAATAGCGGATCCGTTCGATGCGGACCTAACTCGGGTTCGGTTAGGAAATCTTCGGGACCTCTCTCCCAGCTTCAACCGACTGGTTTGATAACCTCCGGTCCTCTCGGTTCGTCCGGACCAATCGGAGCCGGGTCTAGGCGGTCGGGTCAGATGGACCACCGAGGGGGTAACACCGGGTCTGGTAAACCCAAGTACGGGACGGCAGTGACGAGTCTGGGTCCGGACCAAGTTCGGGTCCGGTTTAAGGTGCCGAAGGCGGTTGTTTGGGCGGTGATGGTAGCGGTGGCGGTGGTGTTGGTGGTTGATGGATTTATAATGGTGGTGGCGAAGAAGCCGGTGGTGGCGGCGGCAGTTGCGGCGGCGGTTTTGCCGGCGGTCGTGGTTTTGGCGTGGAGCTGCATTTGGGGAAGAAGGGGATTGCTGGGTTTCATTCGGAGGTACCCAGATGCTGAGCTTAGAGGCGCCATTGATGGGCAGTTCGTCAAGGTTACAGGGGTAAATTTCCATTCAACCCTTCAACTTCCAAGCTTTTGAACTATAACTTCGCATTCACTCACATGTCAGGTGTTGGTTAAAACTTGGATGTTATTGCTAATTTATAGTTAAATTCCATTAGTAGTAAAGTATATTCACTTAATTTTTGTTTCTGGTAACCAATTTGTTTCCAAACTTTGACTGTCTCATCTGGTGAGCTAGAATTTCGTTTTCGTTGCCTTTGGTGATGAATCTTTTGAATTCTTGAATCCGTTTGGTTTCAATAAGATTCATTTAGTACAAGAAACGGAGATGCCACTGAACAAAGGACTGTCTTCATGTTTTATATGCCGACTAACTCTTGTTTGTCTGAACTCCAGATTCTATATGCTGGAAAAAAAATGAACTTAACTATAAATGAATTCGAGTGTTCCAATTTCGGGATAGATTCAAGCATTTCAGTGACTTGCAGGCAGCTAGTTTAGTGCATAGGAGCACATATACCACAGAAAATGTGGTTAAATTTGGTCTTGGATGAGCAATGTGAAGTTTTGCACTTAATTTGTATTTCGATTTGCAGGTAGTAACATGTGGAAGCATACATTTGGAATCGTCCTACCAAAGGATACCGAGATGCGTTTACGTATCTACAGAATTGTACGAGTACAAAGGGTTTGGTGGAAAATCCGCTAACCCGAAACATCGATGCTTCTCCTGGGGATCTCGATATTCGGAGGTTTGCTTCTTGCTTTATGATTTCTTTGTTATTCATCTAAATCTCCAAAATATTCCTTAGTGTCAAATTCCCGATCTTGATGATGGTTTTTTATCTGTGTGTTCATGGGGCAGAGATACGTGACAGATTTCTACGTATCGGACTTTCAATCTGGATTAAGGGCAGTTGTGAAAGCAGGCTATGGATCAACGGTTTCTCCATTTGTGAAACCAGCAACTGTGGTCGATGTCACAGCTCGGAACAGAGATTTATCTCCGAGCTTCCTCCAGTGGCTGTCGGACCGTGGCATCTCCAGCGATGGCCGTGTTATGCGCCTCAAAGAAGGGTATGCCCCTGTATATACACACACACATCTTTAGTCATATATCATCATCATAGTCGTCTTCATAATGGCTTTGTGGAAGCAGATATATAAAAGAAGGGAGTACTGTGAGCGTTATGGGAATGGTGAGGCGACACGACAACGTTTTGATGATCGTTCCTCCCCCAGAGGAAATCTCGTCGGGCTGCCAGTGGTGGCACTGCCTTCTCCCAGCCGCCTATCCCAAAGGCCTCATTATAACATGCGACGATAATCAAAACTCCGATGTCATTCCCGTCTGAGCAAAAAACATTTACTGTTTCTTCGTAATCATTTGCAGCTCTCTGTACATATATGCTCAAAGAAATGTAAATAATTATCATGGATTACCTCTTTCTTATACTGATATATATATATATATATATATATTCTTATGCTATCAATCTTATGGGTTTCAATTCTCGACTCATAAACTCGATTTTTGGTATTGAAGAGGAGAGCGAATTAGCGAAACCTGCATATGAAGAGAGACCTTCACCGGCCAATCTCTTGGGTTCCGCTCTATGAATATCTGTCTCTATCTGTACAACTGCTCTTAGAACTGCATTCAATTCACAGATAGTCCAACAAAATAGGCAACAAACAACTCATCAAACATCATATTCATATCATATTAATGAAGTGTGAAACCCTTTAGTACATGACACACATGCCAAATCTCATAGATCCAACCATATCACATCTTTATTTGTGTGAATCCGCTTATGATATTATTAGTCATATGGGTTCCTAAATTTCTTCAGAAGGTCTGGAACATCGTATCCGAGCATATCGTCTACAGCCTGAATCATCTTCGGCTTCAACCTCTCGAATTTATCGATGTTGTATCCACTCAGCACTTGCCTAAAATGCTCCACATTCGGAAAATCCCCGGCAGGAAGATGAAACTCTCTTTGGACCTGTTGTTTTTCATGTTCCCATGTAAGGTTTAAATAACTTTGCTATTCCAAAAATTGAGAGAAGGTCTTCCACATTTTTTAAAGCCCAAAAGTATCTTTACCTTTCCGAATTCTTCTTGGAGATTGTCCATAAGCCTTTGTTGAGCTTTGGATTTGCCCATCATCACTGGCATTTCTTTCTTGAGATGATTCATTATGTAAGCATGAATCTTTGCAGCTCGAGCTCGCTTCACAAATTCGTTTATCTGCCCATTTTGATGCCCAGACTATATATCATTATCACATTCTAATGCTACTATGACTACATTAGTGTCTAAAGATACAGATCTTTCAGAGCACATGTGTGATATGGAAGCACTGAAAGGCATTGAAAGCTGTACCTTTCGATCACAGGCCTTCTTGGGAATGTTCATTAGATCTGCTAGAAGATCATTTTGTTCTTTCACAAAGAGTCCTTTCCCTAACGGACCAACAGCAGATTCATTGATGGGTTTGTCGTTGAACGAGCTGCAAAAGGAATATTACGACGTAAAAAAGAAAACAAAATGGCAAATCTTTTTGGAAGTAGTGTGGTATCAAAGTCATACCCGATATAGACACGAACAACCTCTGGGGTATTCAGCACTTTCCCGAGAGACCACATCAATGCTCCGTACACTCTCATTAGCTGAAACATGGAACCAAGGTTTATAATTTGGTTTTAAAATGGGTAAAACAAAGCATAAGAGTGAACCAATCAACCAAAATATTACCTGCTGAGTATCGACTTGGTCGGCTTTGTTTAAAACAACGCGTATCTTGTCGTCATTTCCACGTAAAGAAGCAATCACACGCTTGAACTCGTCACTGATATCAAGCTTATGTGGATCAAAGAGAAGAAGAATCATATCACATTTAGCTGCAAACCATGAGATCACACCCGTGAAGTCATAACTCCTTTGTGTCCGTTGCTTCTCTCCAGAAAGAACTCCAGGAGTGTCTACCAAAGTAATTTGGTCCAAAAGCTGCAAGCAGAATGGCAAAAACTGATATTTAATGGCTGAACAAATGAATCAAATGAGTATTGGAAGAAAAGACAGAATTTCTTACCGTGTGTGGCATCTGAGAACACTCAAATTTAGATAGAAAAGCACCTCCGAAACTCGTTAGCCCATTGAATGGCATGTCAGCCTGAACTGCCATTGTGTTTCCAGGTATGGTCCTCTCATCTGGCCCAGTCTATATCAAAGTGGAAGCATCAGATTAATTTGATGAAACATATAACGAGGAGACGACATAAGTAACTGACGTTCAATGACATCTTCAAGACAATTTAGTAGAAACATGAAAACATCTTGACATACCATAACAACCACAAACCTATCCGTTGTTGGCTCTGGTCCAATGTGAGCACCTGTAAATAAGAGAACAGTGATTAAGTCAAATGCATCATGGAGGAAGCCTATTACCGCAGAGAGTTCCACAAATCATCCAAGTTACCTGGATAATCACACCCGAGCAAGTGTTTGATAAATGTTGTTTTTCCAGTGGAATATTGTCCCAAAAGCATTACCATGGGTTTGGCATCAAAATCACTATTCGTCTGATAGGCAATCGATGAGAATATGTCAAAGGGACACCCGAATTTTATATCTCGAAATGATGTCGACATAAGTACACAAACCAACTTCGAGAAACAGAGGAAAGGAAATGAAAAAACTTAACTGCAAACATAACCTCACTCACCAGTAATGGAGATGCAAAATCATTGAAATGATATGTCATTTCAAGTGGCTTTAGCTTTTCATTGTATAACCTTTTCAAGCCATCAACAATAGTAACCACATTTTCCGGTGCCTGGATAACAAAATCAGGAGAAAACTTAGAGAAAAACAGAAAACAGAAAACTGATTTTTTAGGTGTCTAGGAACCAAGTTTTATAACCTTTGTGATAGGTTTTGATTTGAACCAAGGAGCTTTCGGCACGACTTGTGGCTGGGTAGCTCCTGCAACTTTAGGCAAGAAATCAACCTTTCTTGGAGACAACAGAAAGAGTGAATGACAACAATAGAGAAAAACCAATGCTGGCTAACCATTTTCTTCGGCATTAGTGCATGCCTTTGATGCTTTCTGCTTCTGGAAGCAAAATACAATAATTAAATAGTTAGGGAGTTGCAAATCAGGTAATTTTTCCTAACAAAATGGGATAAGGAGGAGCTTTTCATATACCAAGTTTTCCAACCCTTCCAACACAGGGGGTTCTATACTCTTGATGTCAACTGCAACAAAAAAGGACGTACATTACCGATTTATTAATCAAAATCTAAGTTCAAAGTTCAAACAACAGAATCATAGTCTACGCCCATCAACATCAAGCTCTTATTTCAGATTATTTCGATTTCACCTTAAAAAAACACAAATTAACGTCCCATGTACAAGACATCACAGTCTAAACAGGTTTTCGAACACTAGATTTAGATAACTTCCAAGTTACAACATTAAAATCTCAAGTTTACAAAAGAAAATAAACGAAGAAGGGGATAACCCAGTGTAGTAATCTTGGTTCATTACTTCACATACCCGAACCTTTCAGGAGATCTGAAGTAATTTCATGTCCATCTTGTGCCAACGAGACGAGCTGAGCAAAAATATAGCCACCTAAGCCATATTTCCACAAAAAAAAAATATCTCATGAACTCATATGTATATGTCAGTTACACTATAATACCTTCATCGCGGTGATGAACTCTGCCAAACCAAGAAACCCCTGTCGCTTAGAATCCGCAACTGCCCAAACCTTCAAACAAAAAATACCAGATCAATTTAACCTAAATTTAAAGCAGCGGTTTCCGAAATTTCCATCACAAACTCACTTCAAACAAATACTTCCGTCAAACCAAATGTAAGCAACGATCAGCACGAGAGAAAAACGCATTTCATTGCTTTAATTTCTCAAGCGACGAGCCCGGGATGGGAACATTCATCATGAAATCAGCATGCGATTTTCATCGGAATATAGCACTACTATTGAAAAAAAAAACTAAGTCAAATATTGTTGAAAAACAAATGTGGCGATGAAATGAAGAACCTGTTTAAGTTCCTGACGAGAGAGCTTTGACATCGCGAAGAATATCGTAGCATCATTCCCAGAAATGCGATCATCGCCGTCTAGATTCCGGAAATGAAAAATCAGAACGGATAACTCTGCACACATATTAGAAACTGGGGACGGCAAAATCGAGGAGTGGACAAACTGACCCGAATCGGCGATGTTGAACCATTCCTTGTAGATCTTCTGGTGCTCCTTCGTACAAGAACCGATCGGGATCGATGGCGAAGTCTCCATTTCCACTCACACTGTGTGTGTGTGTGTGTGTGTGTGTGTGTGTGTGTGTGTGTGTGAGAGAGAGAGAGAGAGAGAGAGAGAGAGAGAGAGAGAGAGAGATCAGTTTCTAAAATTTGAAACGGAGAGATGGAGAGAAGAATATACCAAAATTGAGCATTTAAATGGTTTGGCGCTTGAGGGGAACGGGAAAAAAAACCCTATCCAACGTCGTCGTTTGATAGGGTTATCCCGAAGAAACGGCACGCGGTTTACCTGCTCACCTGGAAAACGACGAGATGTTGGAATTAATCGTTCATCCACGAGATTATCAAGCTGTTACCGTTTAATGAGATTAGAATCTTTCAGAGGATTATCCCTGAATGACTCGCGATGGACGGATAAGATCCGTCGAAGTATAAAACTCGTACCGTATCTGATTATTTCCATTAGATTCGGCATCAGATTTGAAAATTTGAATAAAGCGCCCATTTTGGGCATGCTTTCCAGTGAGGCAACCGTCGTTTGAAAAGGCTAATGGGCCTTCCATTGGCCCACTTGATTTGACAACGATTTGAACACCTTTTTTCTCAAATTACAATAAACACAATTAACAAACTTGTCTTTTACATTTTCTGAATATTATTCCAACACCAAAAATATAAATAAAAAAAAGATTTAACACAACAATTAAATTTGTGGACCGTCCTCTCTCTTTATACTTGGAAAGCAAGTGATATAAATTTTTGTTACGCCTACTTACCATTTTAAAAACTACATTCCGAAATTTAGTTAAACGTTGGTAATTACGGATCGTCGATAAGATCATTTAAATTTCACAATGTTGTAAATTATGGGCCAGTGTTCATTTAAATCTTACCATGTTATATAACATTATGGGCTGGTTCGAGTCTGAAACCCAATGGGCCAAATTTTAACTAATATATAGTGGTGTAGAAATCGGGTCGGAGTCTTGTCAATTTTTAGTTAACTGAGTCGGGTCGGGTCATTTTTCTGATCCGGATCCAATTGGGCAAGAATTACTGAAGCCGTTGGTTTCTGCTGGGTGGAATCAATGTTCAATGGGCATATGGTATCAGAAAATCCGCCACTCTTAAACTCGCAAGCTGCCAAATTGACAAATTTCTCTCTTTTTCCCTAAAATCTTCTTCTCTTTCTTCTGATATTTTTCTCTCTGAGGAATTTTCTCCAGCCTCCGATCTTTCTCTCTCTCTCTCTCTGAATTCTCGGCCGCTGTCGGAGCTTGGGTTCCCGGCGGATATGGCGGCGGCGGCAGCGGTCTCGGGTATCTCATACTCGGCGACGGCGATTTCACGGCCTTTGATTACCCTACGAGGCTCTAAATCCGCCGTTTTATTCAGCCCCTCACGTCGTTTGCTTCATCATCGCCCTCTACTTTCTCGCCGAGTGCGTTCCAGGTAAGCTAATCGCCCGATTCCTCCCTGGAAAGAATACAGAAAACGTTAATTGATGTGATCGGACTTGTTTCTGCTAAGTTCCTGTATTGGAGTAACTCTTCGTAAAATCATGCCTACTTTTTCTCTTCGAGGTTCATGTTTATGTTGAAAATGGAATCTCTTTCTTCCCATAGCTATAATAGTTTTAGCTCGTCTCGTCAATGGATATAGCAAAAACGTGCTTGATTTTCCGGGTTTTAAGAGCTACGAGCATTTGATATGATATTCTCAATGAAACCTTTTAAATATCAGAAACATTGGTCTTGTTCGAGCAACGATTTTGCAAGATGATGAGGAAAAAGTGGCGGTGGAGGAATCGTTCAGAAGTGATACTTTTCCTGGCGAGAAAAGTAAAGAAGACAGTGGAGGGTTGAATTCGAGTTCCTCATCGAACGCTCTAGAGGCATGGATCATCAAGCTTGAGCAGACGGTGAATGTCTTCCTTACAGTAAGGTTCTATGGCCCTTTCACCTCTTTTCTTGGAAACAAATCTCATGCCCAACAGGAAACTTTTAGATTAGCCGATTGTTCTGTATAAACCAAAAGTTGTTCAAGTGTCTCTTTGTGATCTTGCTTTGTTCTTTCACAGGACTCGGTGATAAGGGTACTTGATTCGTTGTACTATGATCGAGATTATGCCAGATTCTTTGTCCTGGAGACCATCGCCAGAGTACCTTATTTTGGTAATTTCATCTTTTCGTGTTTGTCTTTGTATACTTCCATGATTCATTAACCATTAAGATGTATAATATTGGCCTATATGCTGTACTTTCGAATCATTATGATCTCACATGCACAGCCCTCGGGACATAATATTTCCTCCTGCCTATTTGCTTGGGAGTGCCAGTTAACTGCAACTAGACTACAAGGCTACAACCCGTCTAGTTTTTTCTGTGAATTATTGCCTTTGTAAAAGAAATAACTTATTCAGATGTAGTAATTAAGAAATGCTATCAGTCATCATGATGCATGATGTGAGCTAAGATCATATTCCCATCAGTTTTATTCTTGATGAACTCACTCTGTGCCCGTCGCAGCCTTTATGTCTGTTCTACACATGTATGAGAGCTTTGGTTGGTGGAGAAGGGCAGATTACTTGAAAATACATTTTGCCGAGAGCTGGAACGAGATGCACCACTTGCTCATAATGGAAGTAAGAACCATGTCTTTCCTGCTGCCAAAGCTCGTACTTTAACAACGTTATGTGGCACAGATGATTAAAGAGCATAATGCTTTTGGTTGGTGGCAGGAATTGGGTGGAAATTCATGGTGGTTTGACCGCTTTCTCGCCCAGCACATAGCAGTCTTTTATTACATCATGACAGTCTTGATGTATATCATAAGCCCAAGAATGGCATGTAAGTTTCGCTTATCAACTTGGGATTTTGATGAGTGACTTCCTTTCTCTGTATACAATCGCCGGTAGTAATTTCCGCTCTTCAATGTACTGCTTCACTCCTAAATAGTTATTTGCTCTTAGCTGTCCGCTTGAATAAATTGACGAATTAAAAGAAAATAGACTTCTGATCTATATATGCCTTTATTTCCCCTAAAATTCAGCTTTCAGCCAACAGTATATTTGTGGTGCAGATCACCTTTCAGAATGTGTGGAGAACCATGCATACGAGACTTATGACAAATTTCTCAAGGCCCATGGAGGTTGGTTAAGATTTTCTCTACCGGTCGTTTGAAAAGTTTCCATTTGTTTGCCCTATTAATTTAGTTGCTTGTAGCATTTAGAGTGATGAAAAGAACCCATTCAAGTCTTCAAAGAAATTATTTAGATGGGTCATTCATATGAGTTCTATTATAAACTTGTTTCGTTTATCGATTTTTTATATATTTTGCTTTTGCCGTAGAGGAGTTGAAGAACTTGCCAGCACCTGAGATCGCTGTAAAGTACTACACAGGAGGCGATTTGTACCTGTTTGGTAAGTTTGGCTGAGCTATTTGGATGAATAGAGATACTTTTTCGGGTTCTGTCTCTTTATGTGTAGAAGAACTCTTTCTATGCAGATGAGTTCCAGACTTCCAAAGCTCCCAATACTCGAAGGCCAAAAATAGGTATCCACTAACTTTCTATTTCTCGATATTTCTTTCGATCTCTTTGAGTAAACTATCAGTTTTGTCTCACAAGTGAAGTGAGTCCGTCTAATCAGAAGTACAGCTAAACTGGGTTCGACCTAAATCTTTTGTCTGGAGCTGCCCCAGTATTTGCAGTTCATCAGATTCTTGGCTCTCTTCCTGTCAAAAACCCTTGATTTTCTCGGATAAAGTCTCCAAAGAACTTTTCCAAACTTACGATCCCGCGATTTCAGATCTAATCTGATGCATTAGAAATCAAAACTATGATGTTTATCTGCTGGTCTTGTTTGTAGCACTCAACCAAACATGCTATAATCTTGCAGCAACCGAAGCGATAACATATCATCGATCTATGCTTGTTTTAAGCTAATTCAGGAAGTTTATAACGTTCTTTTTTTGGCAGAGAACTTGTACGACGTGTTCTTGAACGTAAGAGACGATGAAGCGGAGCACTGCAAGACGATGAGGGCTTGTCAGAACCAAGGCAACCTTAGATCTCCTCATTCCATATCCGGCTACTGCTCAGAGGACGAGGAGACTGGCTGCGAGGTCGTGGCCCCTCAGGCTCATTGTGAAGGTATTGTAGATTGCCTCAAGAAATCTATCACAAGTTCCCCCAATAAACAAAACTTAGATTAGTTCACAATACTAATCATTATAGTAATTTAAAAAGTGAGAAGAAAAAAACAAAGGGATTTTACAGATTTTTATTTCCACTTTGTGAAGAAGAATGTTGTATACGTACAGATGCAAATAACGATAAGTTCATATAGATCATAGATGGGGGTTGAGGACTGACTTGGTCTTGGAAGTACGCACATTGGTAACTGGTTCGCCGACATTGCCTTTTTTTTTGGCTTTTACATCTTCAGCCTTTACTTGTCCACCACGTCTCTCTTTAATTACTATTTTACACACCAAAATCTAGCAAGTGTTATTTGCAATTAAATAACATTGCGGAAGCTTCGGAAATTGCCCCTCCATTTAATTATATCTGAAATTTTATATGGGTTTCTGGTCTCCAAAAATTTTTCGTTATAAATATAAAATATATTTTATAATTATGTCGGATATGATTTAGGGATAATTTTGATTTATCATTCTCAATTTAAATTTGAATCATCAGAATATCTAATTCACTTGAATATTCATTAATCGGTTAAGTTCGTTCTGTTACTTTTAAAAGTTTATTTTGATTATTTAGTCTATTTTGTGCTTTTCAAATAATTAAGGAAAAATAGCCAAAAAAAATTAAGTATTTTTAGATGTCGATAAAAAAACATTTTACTTTTTTTATTATCAAAAAATTATATATTTATACTTATTCATGGAAATATACATATCTTTATAAAATCTAACCAAAACGTAAATACCAAGAAAAAAATACGGTAAAAATTTTATGTGTAATTATTTTAATAAATAAATAATAATTAGGTTGAATAAAATAACCGAATCCGCAATAGTTGAATCGAATCCGGTCGATATATACTCAAACCAAATCGAACGATTAAAATAATATATTAGATTGGATTGAATATTTTAAATCTAAAATAAATGAACCCGATCGATATATATCCGAACCGGTTAAAATAATATACCAGAATGGATATGAATATTTCAAATCAGAAATAACCGAACTAAAAATAACCGAATCTAACCGATATTTATATCCAATAGTATATTATTTTAATATATTCAATTCGATTTGGGTATATATCGGTTATTTTGTCTACAAAATAATTATTATTTATTTATTAAAATAATATCACATTCAATTTTTTATCCTATTTTTTTGCATTTGCCTTTAGAAACTTGTTTGTTTGATTTTATAAAATACGATATATGTTTCTGTGAATAATTATAAATATAGAATTTTTTATAATAAAAAATAGAAAGATTTTTGTCGATATCTTTACAGGTTTTTTTGCTATTCTCCCAATAATTAAAGATGATTATTAATTGGATATTATTATTCCTCGGAGAGAGAAGGAAGATATAATTGATCGTATTCAGATTCACTCATTTTTCATTTTCCTTTCCTCCTCGAACTTTCTCGCGCCCTTTTGCTATCCATTTATCGGTCAATAACCATGAAGGTGGAGAGCTACGATTTCCCCGGAGGTGCGGCGGTGATCACGTGCGGCGCAGTCCATTGTAGAGAAGCACCGCCATGGAAGCACCAGAAGCGAAGGACAAAGGAAAGAACAAGGAAATAGAATAGAGACAGAGAGGAAGAAGAGGAAGAAAAGAAACAGACCCTGCTGTTGGGGTCAGTAGGTAGAGGCATCGCCATTAAAGAAAGGGACATGTAGAGAGAGATTCCAAGCTTCGTCGAGTTAGAGAGAGAAACATTTTAGTATTTATTTATTCCAGATTTCTCAAATATTTTATTTTTAGGTCTATTTTAAATTCCTTGGTATACTGATTACTCGAAATATTCAATTTTTTCGTGCATTGTTTGCAAAAAAAATATTTATATCACCGTATGATCAGTGAAGACAAGAGAATAATAGAAATATATTTAGATTATATAAATCAGAATGAATTTTCTTGTATATATTTTATATAATGTTATGAATCGTGATCTAAACATATTATGCCTTTTCTTCAATAAAATTTCGTACGGCCGCCGCCGTATCCCCCGGCGCCGGTGGAGAGCGAGAAGGAAAGAGGAGGAGAGCTGTTCGTGCCTCCTCTGAATTTCGCGATGGTGGATAACGGGATTTTTCGTTCAGGTTTCCTGGAACCCGTCAATTTCAGCTTCTTGCAATCCCTTCGACTCCGATCCATCATGTAAATTCACGATTGTCTCGATTTAAATGTTGAATCAATTTCAGTTTCTGTGCGTTGTTGTCTTTGATCGGTTCCTTTCCCTGTATTCATATTGAGATTTTAGGGCCTTAGTTATAATTAATAATAGTTGTATGTGGTGTTTGAAGACCAGATACAAGAATCGGTTGACAGAATTTAGAATACTTGATCGAATCTTCAGATATTAGGTTAATGAAATCTTATTTCGAAGTTGTTCCGAAGAGTAGTATGATAAATGCAAGGCAGGAGCATGGGATATCGCTGTTGTTCTTTATTCACTATGTTAATCATTGCTTTAATTGATGGAAAACAATAAATTAAGACCCTAAATGCAGTTTGGTTAATCCCTGATCTATGTTGTGTTTATTCACTAATCGTCTTTCTGATTTCGGTCTGGTTAATCCCTGATCTATGTTTTGTAGATATTTGTGCCCAGAGCCATATCCAGAGGTGAATAACGAATTTGCAAAGGCTAATGGGATTGAAATGCTTCAGTTTGGGATTGAAAGATGCAAGGTAAAGATATTATAGTATTTCATTTTGCCCCTCTTTTCTAATTTTTTTTTTTTTTTGCTTGATTGAATACCCGCAAATCCGGTGTGAATGTTTCTTGTTGTGTTTGAGGCTTCCACAATTTCCCTGGTCTTACAGACTTTGAGAAGTCTAGTGTTGTATTCAGAGCTCTCGTCTTTCTCGTTGGACCGATACTTCTTCTTGCGTGTTTGCTCTCTAACTATGAATCCCTAAGCTAGTTCTGAAGTTACAAAATAAACGCGTAGGAAAAACTCTCTCCCAGCTACTGATGTTGCTTTCTAAGTTGTGGCCTCTGTTATAGAACCGTGAAAAGTTTATATTTCTCTTGTTTAGCATTTGGTGAAACTAGAGCCTGTGCACTTTCTAATGTAAATCTCTTACTCCTACGAAAAAACATATGATTTATTTTGCCATGCCTGACTTATTTTGTTCCCAGGAGCCGTTTGTTAATATACCAGATGAGGTGATCCGTGAAGCGCTGACAGTTCTTCTAGGTGCGCCCACCTCTCTAAACATCTTCTTCTGGGCTAAACATTAGACCCTTTTCTACCACAATCACCGTTCATTCAATCGATCAATCCACTTTCTTGTTCTGTATTCATTTTCTAGATACGAGGAACCACCCTGTTTTGATTCATTGCAAGAGCGGGAAGGTAAAAAAAAAAAGCATGAATTTTTTGCTTCTATCCGATCGAAACAAGGTCTGTTTCATGATTAGGTAGCTTTGACGAGAATTTTTTTCGTCCGATGCAGCATCGGACAGGATGTGTTGTGGGATGTTTGAGGAAGATTCAGAGATGGTGTCTGTCTTCCATTTTCGACGAGTACCAGAGATTCGCCGCCTCGAAAGCCAGGATATCTGACCAGAGGTTCATGGAACTCTTTGATATCTCGAGTCTAAGGCATTCACCCATGACATTTTCATGTTCCAAGAGGTAACCCCTACAAGGAGAACATCCTTTTACTACTACTCATCTAGCAACTTCAACACAATATCTTCTATCTGGTTATTACCTAAACTCAAACTAGTTCTTCTGAATCTGAACTATGATTTTGTTCTGGACTTTCTGGCCCGATTACAACGTTGGCTATCCCTATCCCTTATCACCCCGGCTGTCCCATGGTATTATCTTACGAGAATGCCATTAGTAACACTCTACTTGAGTCGGAGTCTTTCCCTTGTACACCAGCGATCCGCAAACCCTCCTTCTAGCCCAGCAACTTCCGAAGTCTGCTTTCATATGATTGCATGTAAAAAAAAAACATTTGCGTCTGATTAATGGTTTTTAAGCCCATATGTATAATTTTCAATCTTTGGGCCCAAGCCCAATAATGACTCATAACCCAAACGCCCAATGCCAAACGCCGCGACAACCTGAAACGCTGCTTAGAAATTTTAGGAGATCTCGACGATGATTACAAACGGCAAATGGCCAACAATCACTACCGTGTCGAAGCTTCTAGTTGAAGAGCATGCCATTCCCGTTTGAGAAAGATACAAACGTTTCCACTACAAAATAATTCTTTTTATTTTCTCCCTATTTTTATTATCCAAGTTTGGAATTTACATAAACTTTCTAATTTAACTCAATGTACTATGTACTGTTATTTTTATATATTTTCAGAAATAACTTTCACATTTATTAATACTTGAATTTTAAATTACCTGAGATAAATCGTAAAAAAAACATACCATTTTGCCTGTCACCTTATTACTTCAATATCCTTTTTAAAAAGTAACATATTTTTCTCCTGAATATATGATTTCATGCAATCAGCATTTTCAGGCCAAAAGCTAAAAACAACACTCGCCTCACGAGGCAACTATATGGTCATTCCCTCACGTCTCATCTTGTCCATCCACGTGTCAAAATCGTGGATCACCATCTTTGGTATGTGAAGGAAACCGTTACTGCCCCTAAGATTTTGACGGATCACTCGATAATTCTGAGGGTATATATGTCCATGACCATTCGCATCGCAACGGCTATAAATAAAGAACATTTTTTTTCCCTGAAGAGCTTCGAATTCTGGTCGACTGACTGATTTGCTCTGCAGTGAAGAGAGGAGAAAGAAGAAGACAATGGCGTCAGTATCTTTGTTCAACAAATTTCCCTGCAAAACCCAAACTCCGACCTCATGTAACACTAAATCCCAACTGAAACATGCGATTCTGGTGCCGATGAGTTCGATTAATCGGAGGCCGACGGGTTTCGCCGGAGGAATCTCCGTTTCTCGGCCTGTTTTCAGGGTCAGAGCCTCAGAGGTGAAAGATGAGCGTGACGATGAGCCGGCGGAGGAAGGATCATCTGTATCGGTTGCGGAGAGCGCGGCGGCAAAGACCGTCGAGGTCGTGGATGAGATCGAGCAGCTGAAAAGAGCGTTGGTAGATTCATTGAACGGAACCGATCGAGGTTTGAGCGCGTCGAGCGATAAGAGGGCGGAAATAGGGGACCTGATCACGCAGCTCGAGGCGAAGAACCCTACACCTGCTCCGACCGATGCTCTGTTTCTGCTCAACGGCAAATGGATTCTCGCGTAAGTATTCCGATTCCCTTCGGGCTTAAACTTAGAAAATGGACATTATCTGTGATAAGATCTGATCTAACCATTCAAGGGTCTTGATTTTATGTATTGCTACTGATGGTCGTATGCTGCAAGGAAATCCTCTGCTTGTATTATTCATAGAGTTGCTAACGAATCATGATGATAGTTCAAGATGCATGAACTTACAGCTTACATGTAACCATCACTATGATTGGGATGCATCATATGTTATATATCTACACTGTAGTGACAGAGGATTGATTATCACGTTATTAGAAAATTGAAGAAACTTTTTATGTTTTAGCCGATAAAATGGGATTATGTTCATCTTTTTTACATGAACAATGGATCTAATGGTAGTCTCGTTGTCTTAACTTACGGAATTTCGCAGCTACACATCGTTCTCGGCTCTGTTCCCGTTGCTGTCACGAGGATACGTGCCTGTCGTAAAATTGGACGAAATCTCTCAGATGATTGATTCCGATAATTTCACCGTCCAGAACTCCATACGCTTTGCCAGCCCTCTTGCTACAGCTTCCATTAGCACCAATTCCAAATTCGAAGTCCGAAGCCCCAGACGTGTACAGGTACTTCCATTCTTGATCCTCGGAACTTCGCTCTTTCAACGATTTTGGGTCCAGTGGAAATTGGCTGGATCCTCATATTGTGCGAAAACATATCGGATTTGTGTTTTCAGATCAAGTTTGAGGAGGGCATTATCGGTACTCCCCAGCTTACAGACTCCATTCAAATCCCTGAAGAGGTTAAGGTCTTGGGGCAGAAGATCAATCTAACCCCCATTAAAGGCCTACTCACCTCACTCCAAGGCACAGCCTCTTCCATGGCGAAAACCATTTCAAGCCAGCCGCCATTGAAGTTCTCTCTACCAGGAAGCAACGCTCAGTCATGGCTGCTCACAACGTACCTCGACAAAGATCTTCGGATTTCAAGGGGTGACGGTGGAAGCGTCTTCGTTCTCTTCAAAGAAGGCAACTCTCTCTTGAAACCTTCGAACTAATATCACAACCAGCGACCCTCTCGGGAAAATGGATAGTAGCCATGGCCAAATAGAATTAATCGTGTTATGTATTCTCAAGTGTTCTATATCTAATGGTTCCTCTAGTTTAACTTGCAAGTACTCGTTTTGCTATGGTATATATGTAACGCCCGAATATATACGAAACATTTTCGGAATTAGGTACACCAATATGGACTAAATGTGAGAATCATGGGTATGAAGAACAAGATTTAGAGCTTTTCGACGAATATTGTTAAGTTTTAGTTCCTCGGGAACTCTCATTCGGTTCCAAGAATTGAAATGGTTTATCCAAGATTCCGAGTTCGAGTCTCCACCATATATACTTCACTCGTTCTATACATAACCAACCTGAGTCACAACATTTTGATTGCAGATTCTAAAATAAACCGGTTCAATTTAGATACGACCCAGATGTCAGATACTGAACCAGTCGGTTATCTTACACAAAGACTGAAACTTTCAGCATATTTCTGTCGCGTAAGAATCTCTTGTTCTGTCTTGTAAGATAGAATGCTGTCACGGACACAAGAACAGATCAGAACAAACCTCGTAGAAGATCTCGAGGATTACAGGGCGATGATCGAGAGGATTCATCGATAGATAATACTCCAAGAGGCTTCTGAGCTCATCAGCATCACTGATACGGTTTGATATGATCATCTCCACCATGGAATCTCTGAAATCCTCTCGTGGGTCATACGAGTATTTCTCCATTGCCATCATCACGATGAACTTGGTGTTCCTTCCTCCTCCACTTCTTGTTCTCGTTCTCGTTCTCCTCCTCCTTTGCGTAATCTTCTCCTGGTGCGTCGCTTCTTGTCTCTCCCTTATCATCTGGTCGAGCTTCTCTTGGACCATGTAGTGAGTTAGACTCGAAAGCGACCCGCCGCCGCCGTGTTGGTCGGAGAATCTTTCCGAGGAAGAAGACGACGAGACGCTGAATCTCGTGTTGCTGCTGCAACACAGTGCTCTGCAGATTCTTGATTCTCTTCTTTGAAGAATATTGCTTTGATTCTTGCTGTTGGCGTTGGTGTTGGTGTTTTGGATGTGATCTTCTTGGGCTCTTCTCATTTTGTATGATAAATACATGGTGAGAGAGGGGTTAGGAGGAACGAAGATTTTATTCAATTTATGCACAAATGGTAAGGTGGGTCCATGTTCAAACATGATTATGTCCCGATTCTTGATTCAAAATATTAAAAGCTTATTCGAATCTTAGTCAATACATGACTTCAATGCTATTCACACTACCACCAAAGAGTTTCTATATATATATATATATATGTGTGTGTGTGTGAAGTAAATGACTTGACACGTATGATATAATGTATGCTAAATTGCAATCAATAACCAAAATTCCTCACAAATTATTAGAATATTGATATTGATACAATCTTTGATGATATCAAATCAAAAGCCGGGCGAATAATAGAGAAGATTAGGTGGTTATGACTGAAAAGGGAAAAAAGAAGAGCTAAATGCATGTATTGAATAACAAGAGGCCTCTCTAGACATTTTATATAATAGGATATGAGCAATTTCTTTTATTTTATTGGATATCATCCAAATTATAATAGAAATAAATGAATTTTAGAATTTCAATGAGATATATGGTCCGACCAATGACCATGATTGTACGTAGATTAGAAATATGATTATGATCGTGTGGTGCTCCCCAAATAGATGTATTTTATACATGAACTAATCTAAAAAAATTAATATAACCCGAATATCATAAAAATGAATAATATTTTTTTTATTCAGACACCATTCAAATTGTTATTAAAAAGGTAAGATCTCATATAACTATCTAAGCTTTTGCAAAATATACGAAATAATTTTTTAAATTTTTAATTTGATAAAATTGATTTTTTATAGGTTAAAATGTTTTAAATTGATATATTAAATGTTAAAATATTTCAAATTATTATTCCACCTCACAAAATCGAAACCGATTTATAATTTCAATTCGTTTTTTTTATGTTGAGAATTACTCTCTAATTAATATATGGAATACACGTTTTCCGTACAGCTGGATAAAATCTCTTTGTAAGATTCTACCAATATAATTAAAGATTCTATCATGTGATAATATCCATGGATTTATATATAATTTTTTTAATAAAAAAATCATGGGTTTTATAAAGAAAAATGTAAATGAGATAGAGAAATATTAACTGGTTAGTGGATGTAAATGTACTGAATAAGTACCTACCAACTTGTTCAGCTGACACACAAAGCACATGATGCTATGATGGTCCATCCTTTCCATGGTTTTAATAATCATATATTATCTTTTCTTATTACATCTATAACTATATATCTATATATTATATAATCCATACATAAAGTATAGTTTTGATTTGCCAATTTTGTTCAGGCTCACCACTCTGACTCCATAAGAACTGTATAGCTGGTTTGGTTATTGCCATATAGTTTTAGAATTCCGGTTATCTAAACCGGCCCAACTCAGCCCAATGGTGTTCTGTCTATGGGCCAAACCAAGCCCAAACAAGTGCAATGGATCCACTAGAGCCATCTCTACCGTCCACGTGTCTCCATCTCATACCGCTTATATACTTGGAACCGCCTTCATATATCGATATTCCCTCGAGAAAACCTCGACTTCGAATCAAGGTCTCGAAAGATTGACGACGATGATGATGCTTAGGCAAGCTGCGAGGAACGCTGTTCTAGGGCTGACGTCACGCGAATCTCGGCCTCTCGGGATCGCGTCTCGATTATACCACAAGAACGTAATCGACCATTACAACAACCCCCGCAACGTGGGCTCCTTCGACAAGAACGATCCCACCGTCGGTACTGGCCTCGTCGGAGCTCCGGCGTGTGGCGATGTGATGAAGCTTCAGATTAAGGTCGATGAAGAGACTGGCGAAATCGTTGACGCCCGCTTCAAGACCTTCGGCTGTGGCTCCGCCATCGCTTCTTCTTCTGTCGGTACGTTATTCTTGGACGAATCTGGTTTCGTGTTCCTGTTCTGTTTTCTGTCGATATTTTTATAGAAAATAGTAGGATTCGGGATGCGATTTGACTAGAGTGTTTCAAGGGTTCGTATTCATTTTGTGATTAATTGTTCCCAAGTGGAAGAATTTGGGGCAAAGATTAGATGGATTGGTTTAGGATTCGTGTCGGAAATCTGGATTGACTAGAGGGCTTTCCAGATTTCTTATGCTATGCTTCATCTCTGTCGTCCTCGGCTGTCTTGCGCGACTTGGTGGTAGATGCAGCAGCTTTGAATTAGATTTCACCGTTTGGGTTTGGCTTCTTCTTAACAGTTGAAGCTTCTTAGCCTGTTTGCTTTGGGTTTGGGTTGGTCATTGCCTATGCCTAATTGCTTTCTTCGTTTGGCCTGCAAGCGATAGTAGTTTGGTGATCACAGTAATGCCAAGACGAGCTCAGAATGCATAAAAGCTAACATGTCCCCACCATCTTAAGATTGAAATTCTTTGATATCATACAACTGGCAAATGTGTGCTGTTTACGAGTAACAAATCCCAGATGTTACTTCTTAGCATCATCATATGAATCGACATCACCTTCGCAATACATTAAAGATGTAGTATTCATTCGGAAGATGTATACATTAAAGATGCACTTACAGAGTCCCAGATATATATATATATAAGTGAGGCAGAATTTGCAGAGAGGGGGAGGGAGAGTTGTTTTAACTTTTATGTTTATGTTTATTGATTTCTTCTGAATCTAGCGTGATATTGTCTCAGTTAACGTCTGTTAATTTTGTTCTCAGCCACTGAATGGGTGAAAGGCAAAGCAATGGAGGAGGTCCTGACCATCAAAAACACGTAAGTTCTGTTTCCATACCTCTTCTTACAGTTAGGTTCAGTACATGCTACAAATGTGAAATTCATATTTTTCGAAGTGTAGACGTCCTATTTTACTATTCAGTTATACGGCAATAACATGAATCATTAGAGGTTGTTACTTGGCTTTTTTTTTGTGATATGTAAATTGGTCTTTGTTCTACTCGCCAAATTGTGTTCCCTTTACCTGGTGGCTCCATTTACTGGATGAGCATTTTTGGACGCCCTTCTCTTATCTTCTATTCATGTGTTATTCAGTACTGTGAACTCGTTACAACGTCTCGTGGATTCAATCTGATTTATATGATGTTGGTCAGTCCATGTGACGTGGACGCGTATTCAACAGTAGCATAACGGGTTATTTATTCGGATCCAAAGAGATATGTCAACATGGATGGATGAGTCATGGGTTACTGCACATGTTCTTGACTTGCATGTCTGAGGATACGAATTGAAGTGGTGGGTTTTATTCCATGCAGGGAAATAGCGAAGCATCTGTCACTTCCACCGGTGAAGCTGCACTGCAGCATGCTCGCTGAGGATGCCATCAAAGCAGCCGTCAATGACTACAAGGCCAAGCGTGGCCTCTCAAACGACGCTGCTTGATTCTCTTCTTCTACTAGTAACGTCCATAAGCAGATGGGTGTGTGTGAGTGAGCGAGCGAGCTCGCTCATGAAATATACTAAGTACCAAAGGACCGGAACGTCTTATGGGTAATATTTCTAAGTTTGTTTACGACTCTGAAATACTTTTGAATAAGCTTTTGTTTGAATGGTAGTACTTGTTGGGTACAATAAGGGAAAATATCTTTTAATATTATGATATCGTATGTATGTGTGTGTATATGTATACACTGGATTTCCCACTGTCAAGCTTCTTGATTCAAATTAGAATATAATCAGGGCTGGACATCATCGCATATGTTGAAGTATTTCACGATTGAATATCGCTATAATTGCTTTTTATAAAAAGATAATGGGAAACAATGTTGGTTGACCTTCACGTGATTATCGCGTTATGTCTTTGCTCTCCATGATGGGGCTTTTGGTTTTGGATTATACCCCATGTCTTTATGTTTATTTGGACATGAAAAATCGAATTAGTTCCCACTATCATTTTTTTTGGACGCTATAGAAAACCCCCGAGTACCCTTCCCAACAGTATGATATGATATGATATGATATGGGGAAAATGTGTAACTCTTTAATTTATTTATTTATTTTATGTAATCATCCTAAATGCACCAAGACAAAAACCATCAACCGCATTCGAGACTAATCATAAGCATTTGGTCCCTCCGTTTTTTTTTTTTTTTTGTTATTTGCATTACTAGTCCCATATACACACACACACACACATTACCACAGTATCAAGCTAATTTTGTAATTTTCTTGAAAGTTGGATCAATATATAAGCAGAAATCATGTTGGAATTGATTAAAATAAATCGAAACCCATATCAGATCAGATGGGTCTCCGTAGGAATGGGATGTCTGAATAAACGAAACTTATATAATAGATTAAAAATAAATAAATGAATAAATATCGGGCAAAAGAGTGGAAGACTTTTTCTCCGGCAGATCGAAGTCAAAATCTATCTACCTGTCAAAAAAATGAGAAATATATATATACATGTCATGTGGGTTTCTTGAATTCTTCATCCCTTTCACATTGTGCCTTGCTTATGACATTTCAGTTTCATTTTATTTTTTATTTAATTGTAATTATAAAAAGTGCTCAGATTTGTCGTTTTGAATTAATTATAAGAAAATCGCATGTACAAATAAGATATGCACTTTTTATTTTTTTGGAAAAAATTATAGCTTTGAAACTCTCGAATCAAGATACAAAAATGATCTTCAATTTCCTAATAAAATATATATTTTTAAAATCTAAGGAAAAAAAAAACAGATTTGACCCGTTGTAGCCATTTCGCTAAAAAAAAATTTTAAAAAAACGTATCATATAAAACACACACACACATATATATGTGTGTGTATATATACACATTCATATGTATGTATACATCAATTTTATTAGGATGGGCTATTATTAGTTCGGTTCAGTTTTATGCACCGAAATGTATGGTTTAGGACATATGCTATTTTCTACAAAGAACAAACTTGAAAATATGTTTGAGTTGATATATGAAAATCAATTATTGAGAAATAACGTAATTAGTGCCAATTCATGAACCCCCAAAAATATGGATTCCAACATGCAAAAGACCAAAAACATTTCACTGTTACTTTTTCAATCATATAAGCTAAAGAAGACTCGGACCTAAATTAAAAAGGAATTTTATTCCTTCTCTTATCACCTGAATCAACCCATCTTAAACAATATAGATATAAATATAAATATAAATATTAATTATTTTGTTTCATTTTTTTAATGTTATTTGGAAATAATTAATTGTTTAAATGTGATCAGTTACACTTAGGGGTTAGGGATGAACGTTTCAGGAATCGGTTCGGATTCGAGACGTAAATGTATCAGTTCGGTTTTTTAGGTTTTACAAAAATAGGTACCAATCGGTTTTTATATTATGTCCGGTTTAGTTCGATTTCAGTTTTGGTTCAGTTAGATTCCGGATTTTATTTAAAAAATATATATTTTCTTTTTAAAAAAAATTGGTTTTTCGGGATTTTTTAAAATTCGGTTCGGTTCGGTTCTAAAAAATTCGTTCTTCTAAAAATAAACGTAGAACGGTTTGGATAAAAAAAAATGCAGTATTTTCGGTTCGATTCTTTGAAACCGAACCAAAACGTCCACTCCTAGTTACGTTATTATAATAAGATTATGTGCTTTAGCCTTTAATAGTAATTCATTGTGAATGCGTCTGTGTGTGTGTACGGATGTCGAATTGTTGCAAGGAACCTTAAATCTCTCTTCCTACATTGAAGAAGTTGCATGTCGGAAAGGGGTATTTCGGACATTTACATGCCGGGTCCATCTCATTTAATGAGATAATGTTAGCCGTCACATGCCTTTCATCACATTTGCTTCCGAACAGAAAATTACAAAAACACCCATTAATTTTCTTTTCTATTTTTCTTCTCTCTTTTGTATGTTCTGAATCGTTCTTTATTTTAAGAGGATGTTATCTTCTTCACGGAAACTAAGGCAACAAATATTACAACGTGAAATGTGAAAAAAAAGTATGATGTTTTTATGAGTCTATAAATATAAAAAGAAATAGGATGTAAAAGATTTTTGGTATATTTGATTTTTTTGGTATTAAAACCATTCGAATTTCAGAATTACAAATCAAAATTCGTATTCAAATAAGACAAATATACGAATTTTGAGTATTTATGAATATACGTGAGTGAGATACCCTTGGTGGGTGAAGATGAAGAGCGAGACGGTTGTGATGAGAGAGATTGATGTGAGAGTGGTGGTGGTGGCAATTTTTTTTGTTGATAAATTCTATTTTGTGTAAATTCGTATAAAATATTGAAATATTTTATAAATATGTTAAATATAAATAGTGTATTTTTAATTCTGATCGCGTATATAATAACTGTCTAATCTTAATTTTGAATTCAACAAGCCCTTTCAAATGTGATATTAGATATTAGGGTTGGAAATTTATTTTTTTCATTTTGAATTCTTAAAAAAATATCTATTCAATTTTTATATTATATTCGGTATTTAATGATAAAATATTTATTTTTAAAGATTTTTTTTGGTAAAAATTCTATTGGCATTATATCAAAAATATATTCCACTTACTATTTTTACTTTAAAGCATATTCTTGTCCAGCTGTGACCAGTGAGATATATCAGATATGAACATAATGAATGAGTGTGATCATCAAAATTTAACGTTATGACCAAAATGACCAAGATTAAATTTCTGGTCACATAGATCACAGGGTCACCGTTGGAGAAGTGTATGTCTTAAAGTCAAAATATGAAAGAAAGAGTATTTTTAATAATGTTCCAATTCTATTCGGGTTAGATTTTTTAAATCGTAACTATTCGATTTTTATATCGAATTACTTATAATTATATATTATTAAGTTATAATTGATTAGCTTGGCCAAAGATATTTGTATCATAAAAAAGACTTTATTATTTATTAGATTTTGTGCAGATAAAAGTAGTTTTGGAAGCGTCATATTCGAAAATGTTAAATAAATTATTTATTATAAACGGTCCAACGAATGATCGAACGTCCTGTTGGATTCGCGAGCTGTAATAACAATCCAACAAAAGTAAATCAGATAAATTACAAAATTAATAAATTATTTGAATCATAACCGTTGGGCCCCACTAAATCTCGGCCCTTTCTTTAATTGATTTTTTTTGTTTCCTTCTCCCAATGGGCCTCACATGGACCCACTTTACCGCCACGTGCCGGTTTAATATTCTCTTATCGTTTTGTATATTACAAAATAATGTAAATGTTTATTTTAGCCAAATAAAATCATAAAACAAATATTATAAGGTAATCTCATTCGTAATATATATTTTACCTCTGTCTTTGTTTTACATCATGCAAAATCCAAATGACGGTAATCACTGGTCAAACATAATATATAAAAAATTATATCAACATCTAATAACCCCTCATGTTTATCAAACGAAAGGGTATATAAAGGATTATATATTTGTTCATGTATAGAAAAGAATAATTTTTCGTATAATGTAGTAGTCCTTATTGAAGTAATTTGGGAAATGAAATGAATACCATGGAATGTATGTTTAGATGAATTAACAAACTAGTTAATGAATCATAAAACGTGGTTCACCTCCACCACAAACATTGGCTCTGTGGTCCATTCTATTTGTTGTGGTTTTATTTTACCATTTAGATATGTATGTATGTATGTATGTATGTATGTATGTATGTATGTATGTATGTATGTATGTATGTATGTATGTATGTATGTATGTATGTATGTATGTATGTATGTATGTATGTATGTATGTATGTATGTATGTATGTATGTATGTATGTATGTATGTATGTATGTATGTATGTATGTCCAAATTGACTTATTCAGTGTATCCAATATCACAGGATAATTATCTTATTTTAGCCTATGGATCTAATTTTACCACAGGGTTATGCTTATCCTGTGAAATCACAAATATATTATTCGTTAAGAAATTATTTTATTTGTCACATTCCATATATCGTCGATTGCACTTGCCACCAGGCCTCTCTCTCTCTCTCTCTCTCTCTCCAGTCATTTATTTCTCTCAACCCACATTCTCTCTCTCTCTCTATTGAGCCATGGATAGTCCGGCCAGCATACGCATCGCCGAGAAGCCTCCGGCAGTGCTCTCTCCGTGCGGAAGCCTTCGCCGGAGGAGCACCTCCTCTTCCAACTCGCCGGAGTTCGAGTTCTGGCGTCTCACGAACCCGTCGACTCAGCCCGACCCAGATCTCGTCTCCGCCGACGAGCTTTTCCTCGACGGCGTCCTCCTCCCACTTCACCACCTCTCCTTCAAATCCATCCACCCGTCCGATCCCGATGTATCGAAACCCGACCCGGATCCTCATTTCGCCGACCCGCCTGCTCCTCTCGTCCCTGAGCCAGAGTCTGCGACATCAAAGGCAGAGCCCGCTCGAACAGCCCGACCCGGACCGGAGTTGACCCGTGAGACGGCCTTTTCCGGGTTCACAGCGTCGAAGCGTTGGAGAGATATATTCAGGAAGAGTGAGTGCAAACCGCCGGGGAAGAGTCAGGAAGACAAGGAGAAGGAGAAGGAGAGTAAGAGAAGAGAGAAGAAGAGCCAATCCGGGTCGGGTTCGGGTTCCGGTGCGGAGCTGAACATCAACATCTGGCCATTCTCCAGAAGCAGATCCGCCGGAAATGGCGTGACCCGACCGAGAATGTCGTTCGGAGCTCCGGCAAATCGGAAGGTGAGCAGTGCGCCGTGCTCCCGGAGCAACTCCGCCGGCGAGTCCAAATCGAGGAAGTGGCCGAGCAGTCCAGGTAGAGTCGGGGTGCATCTAGGTCGGAGCAGCCCGGTTTGGCAAGTCCGCCGCGGAGTTTCTGCCGGAAAACCAATTTCAGAGTCGCCGGTTGGTCGTGGCTCCGGCGACAGAGGTACGGGTGGCAAAAAGGAAATTATTGAGGCGAGGAGGGGTAAAACTGTAAATGAGAATAATAAAGCGAAAGTGCTGAATCTGAGCGTGCCGATGTGCATCGGTTATCGGAGTCGGTTAAGCTGCAGAAGCGACGAGAGTGGAAGTAGCAATAGTCGGAGTGGGAATAGCAATATTGGGAGTGGCGACAGTAGTAACCCCAATGCCACTACCCTGTTTGGTTTGCGTAATCTTTTCATTAAGAAGGTTCATTGACTTTGACTTACCTGTAATTTTTGTATTATATAATTTTCATCGTCAAACCCTCTAGACGGTCTCGAGGGTCTCTCTCTTATTTTCTTTTTGTATTTGTTGATGTCTTTGCTGTTACTATCTTTTGATTCTACTGTAAATGACGAATCTAGTGCATTCAATCGATGTTTTAATTTGTTTGGATGTTTCCCTGGCCAACTAAACCGGAATCCGGTTTGATCGGTTTGGTTTAGTGCTTAACCGTTGAATTACTGATTATGGATATGAAATGTGAAGACTATGGAGAACTAGGATATGCTTCTTTCCATGTCGACATCATAGAAAGCTTTCAATCAAATGAACTAAACTAAGAAGAGCACAAGACTAAACCAAACCTGTGAGGTAAACCGCGACCGGTTTAGGTATGATGCCGGTTCAAAATTTCTCTTACACAGACAAACATCTGCGTTCCATCTCATTTACTAATTTAGTATGATACCTTTTAACAAACTGAAAAATTTATTCATCTGTGACAAACACACGATTCATAGATGAAATTGTACTCTAAGCAGAATGAATACTCTCTTCTTTTGGGTATGGTGTGAGACCAACTTCCAACGGCTGAAGCTTGAGTTTTTCTTCCAGAGATTCACAAGGAAATGTCGATGGGTTCGTGTTCGGGTGTCCTGTAAGAAAACCCAGTGTCATCACTGGTCCGTCTCTTCATAACGCTCGCCCGCTGGACCAATCTCACCAGCTGTTGCACAACCTCTGACATAGGTGGCCTGAACTCTGGTTCGGGCTGTACATGAATTTAGATCCAAAAAAGACTGTTACTTCGCAAAAAAGCTCGGAATTTTCTTTTCCGGGATATTCATCCCTTGTTGAATAGGTAGGTATTTACCTGAATACAGAGGGCGATGATATCAGCAAAACGAGAAAGGGACTTGGCTGGATACATGCCCTCGGTCTCCGACGAATTGCATTAGGAACGTCCAAGTAGTTTAAGGCCTTTAAGAATTCCAGCTGATGCATATATGTGTATAATCGGTGTCCGATTGGGATCTTGTTGGTCGATTCTGGGCTTAGGGGTGTACAAGTTACATCATGTAGAACAACAGGGTATGGTCTGCTTGTCGGATACTAATGGGAAACTCTATGGGGTAGCCTTTTCGTCAGAAATTGCCCTCACATAGTCACATCTGCCTTTGGTGTCAAAATTGCCTCATTTCTTTTATGTTTGCGTCTTTTTTTTTTCTCTTGGATGATGTTTCCATTCGCATCGTTCATTTTCCATGAATCATTGCCCTGTTTTTGTTTTCAAGTTTATGCTTTGTGTTGCGAGTGGCGAATGTTTGGCAATTGCAAGCCGTAGATGCACTTTCGAGTTTCGAGACATGTTATTGGTGTAGGGGTCATACGATGTTTGCTTAGAGAGGATATAGAGATAGTTACAGATGCCAGGGAAGGTTGGGTTGGGTATGGTTATATTAACTGGATGAGAGGGGGATCTTTTCGGGTTTCTTTTGTTTGCATAATTGAAGGGCAATTTCATAGATGAAATTGTACTCTAAGCAGAATGAATACTCTCTTCTTTTGGGTATGGTGTGAGACCAACTTCCAACGGCTAAAGCTTGAGTTTTTCTTCCAGAGATTCACAAGGAAATGTCGATGGGTTCGTGTTCGGGTGTCCTGTAAGAAAACCCAGTGTCATCACTGGTCCGTCTCTTCATAACGCTCGCCCGCTGGACCAATCTCACCAGCTGTTGCACAACCTCTGACATAGGTGGCCTGAACTCTGGTTCGGGCTGTACATGAATTTAGATCCAAAAAAGACTGTTACTTCGCAAAAAAGCTCGGAATTTTCTTTTCCGGGATATTCATCCCTTGTTGAATAGGTAGGTATTTACCTGAATACAGAGGGCGATGATATCAGCAAAACGAGAAAGGGACTTGGCTGGATACATGCCATTGAGAGAAGGATCAACCATTTTAGACAATGCGTCTATGTCATGAAGCTGTGGTGTCGCCCATCTTACCAGCGATTGCTCTGGTCTTGGCCTTGAGCTATTAAAACATCATAAAACCCGGGTTTAAGCACATCGGGTAAGAACAATTGTTTCAGGTAAAGAAGCACACCAGATTGTGGATTCTAACTAGCACTTGGAGAAGGAGACAAGAAGGATTTCTTTTGTTAGAACACATGGGTTGTAATAATCACCTGTCAAGAGGCTTTCGACCAGTCAAGAGCTCCAGCATCACTACACCGAAACTGTATACATCACTTTTGATGGTGTAAACTCCGGATAAAGCAAACTCGGGTGGGCTGTATCCGAAAGAACCCACCATTTGAGTAGAAACCTGCAACTCATTAACCACTCGACTCTTAGAAAACAGAGTAACAGTTTAGCGGGTTGAGCTCTCTTCTGAGCTCGGGTTCAGTTTTTGTCTTTATACCTGTCTCTCGGTATTGGGCGTTAAAGCAGCTAAACCACAGTCAGATAAGTGAGGGTTAAGTTCATCGTCCAGTAATATATTTGCTGACTTGAAGTTCCTATGTACACCAGAAGGCAAGCAAACTTCATGCAAATACCTGAAAAGACCGATCCATGAGGTTAGAAAATACGAAAGAAGAAAAAGAGATCAATCAAATACAGATATTTACATACTCTAAAGCTCTGGCAGTTCCAAGTGCCACTCTAACACGGCCGTTCCAAGTCAGAGTCTTGCTTCTATCGTCGTTTAAATGCAGCATATCATCAAGATTCCCGTTACTGACGTATTCATAGACAAGTAGCCGCTGTCCATGCTCAGTGCAGTATCCAGCCAAGGGAATTATGTTAGGATGCCTCAACCGTGACATATTTGAAATGGCTTCAAGAAAATTCTCTTCTTCTTGCAATGAAAGTGCTGCATTATCAATCTTCTTGATTGCCATCGTCTAAAAACCAAAAATACAGAGAACTATTATCATGTAGGAATCTTGATAACTCGGTGAGGAAAGTAAAGAATACTTGTTGAGCATTTAAGGTACCTTTCCACCGGGGAATTCTGCCTTGTAGACACGGCCAAGAGAACCTTCACTGATGATGTTTTCCTGGCTGAAGCTATTTGTTGCTACTTGGAGAGAGGCGACAGTATATTGGGAAGCAGTGATTGGAGATCTCATTCTCTTTACAGACCCGTTTTTCATAACGCGATCAACTATTACCTTTTCTGCCGGCTGGGCCTTCAGATCTGCCATTGCAGCTACACTTTTCACTCGCTGTTCGTGCATCTCTATCACAGCAGAACAGAGCAGAAAGTCGGTAGAACATGCAAGAAAAAATCAATATGGCCTTTCGGAAAGCGTTTTAGACAATGAACTTAGTATTAGAAAACAAGAAACAGCTCTGCTTAGTTCCAAGACTTCCAACCCCAAGAACAACCTTGTATAAAATGTTTTCTTGTTTTTCCGGAATTACATAATAATCTGCATCACATTACTGAAATTTTGATCCATTATGGAATACTTTTCAAATAATTGGTTCATAGGTTCTAGAAACCCAATTAAGCTCTCAGTCCTCAGGTCTTCTCTCCAGACAAATGACACTAACCAAGGTCAAGATCATTAATTTCATGCTCCAGGCTTATTGTATCGATAACAAATCTTAATTTTGCTGTGGAGAAAACTAATTAGCGAATAACAAAAGTTAGAGGAAATGGCATACCACTTGCCCCTCCATGAGGGAGATTTCCTTGAGATGCTCTTGTACCTCTGACCTTCCTTTTATTCTTCTGAATGCACAAGATAAGTACAATGGCCAAAGTTCCAGCTACAGATAGACAACCGAAAACTATACCCGTAATTGCTCCACCAGATAAACCTGCATCCGTGTCTGAGGATTTCCCATTGGAGACATCGGGTTTCTTTGAACCGGAACGATTTCCCTTTTTATGAGACTTTTCTGGTTGAGGAGAAGCAGGGACATTGTCAAAGGAATTACCATCATATCTGTTTCATTTTAGAAACACACAGATGGATTAGTAGCAGTTCTTAAAAACCGAAACTGTAACAAAATCCAACATCAAAGAAACCGTCAAGGAAAGAAACTTACTTGAAGGTTTGAATGGAACTAAGATTTGCAGGTACTGATCCATTGAAGTGATTGTTGGCAACATTTCTGTCAATAAAATTCAAAAGGAACTTAGCATAGATGATGAATATAAAAAAAATCTTGGTCTTTCCACAAACAAGAGAACTCACAGAGTGGTCAAATTCAATCCCGAGAGAACTCCGATAGAACCAGTCAACTGATTGTTCTGAATATAGCTGTCACAAACCACGATACCGTCATCAGTACATCAAATGCAACTCTTCTGCCGATTTGGAGGACTTTTTTTTTTATTCTTTAATAGATTTCTTAATTCTTTTCCGCTTTTCATGTTGCCGCAACATAGAAGGTTTTGAGTTGCTCACAGAACAGAAAGTTTGGTGAGTGTACTAAAGGAACTTGGAAGATCACCGCTAAGGTTGTTGTAAGAAAGGTCCCTGAAACATGTCAATAGACATTGTCACACAGAATGTGAATACAAAACGTGCCTATACTGGTCACCAGCAAAACTGGTGTAAATCACAAGGGATAAGTAAGAAATCTTACAAGGTGGAAAGTGAGCCATGACTAGAAAAGATATTCCCTATCGACATGGAAAGTGAATTATGACTCGCGTTCCTAGACAAAAGCGTTCCAAAGTTAGTATATATGCAAGAAACTGCTAACCTCAGTTTGAGTGGTTTCAGAAAGGCAACTCACATGTACGAAAGAGAAACCATGGTGGACAAGGAATAAGGAAGGCTCCCACTTAGGTTGTTCCTTGCTAGATTTCTGCAATGCATATGTCCAGTCCAGACAGTTAGCTTCAAGCAGTTGCACATTGAAGTTTAAGACTTCAGAACTTGAGCAAAGAAGGAAAAGTTACAAGATCTATAAGATAAACAGCATTACAGGCTTGTGAGATTCGGTGGTAACTGATATGCGATTGTATCATGGATGTTGTTGCCACTCACATCTCTGAAAAACACAACGGAAAGCAACTTACCAAACCAAACTGAAACGAGAAAACACACACGCACACACATATAAAGATCAGACAGAAAACTGGAAACACAGATGAAGGGAGAGAAAGTTCTCTGTCATACAATTTTCTTAGAGACATAAGGTCTGACAGCAAGTATCCGAGAGTACCCGAGACTCCTAACTCAGACATATCGCTGCAAGAATCATAACAGCAACAAAACCAACAACAACAAGAACATTAAACGCAACAACCGTCGATGCTAATAGATAAAAAGAAAAGCAGCATATGAATTACTATATGATCTTTTATCTTTACATGGAGACAACTGCCGAGCCCTCACAGGTAACCCCTTTCCATGATTCACCACATGGATCACCACCGTTGCTTTTCCAATTGGTGAGCTGTGGAGGATTATTCAACGAAGCATACAACACCTGAAGAGCTTGAACTGCAAAATTCCAGAAAAAAAAAAAGAGGAAACCGGTCGAATCCCATCAGCAATCTATCACGAAAATCACAATCTTTGGCAAATTTATGAAAGCTTGGGTCAGCATTATTGGATCAAAATCAGCACAAAAGGTCAGAGCTTGGCAGCTTTCTGGAGGAATGAGAAATCGTGGATTTGTGCTCTAAACATCTCATAGTTGCTTTGCCTGATCCGCGAAAAGATACACAAGTTTTGGTTAAAGAAAGAAAGAAAGTTTGGAACTTTTGGTTTCCAGCATTTTCTACAGGTTTCTCGGCTACCAAATGGAACCAAATATGACCAGACACAACATCACTTGGCTCAGACAACTGTAGCTTTCTGCTTCACTTTCCCACTGTTTTTTTTTTCCAGAAGATAACCACTTAATCGTCAAATCCACACACATCAATGCCAAAAAAAATCACTAATCTCCATCACAGAGCTCCGCCAGAAAATAAAGATCACCCAATAGAAAATAGAAAAACACGATCAAAATGAGCGAAAGAAAAAGACAAGCCAGCATTTCAACACATACCATCGGATGGATCAGTAGCACAACGAACAGCAGAGAAGGCAAAGATCGAGACCATAAATAGAAACAGGAAAAGGGACAAAGCTCTGTCTCCGCAAGCCATTCTCGATGTCTAAAACTCTTGTTAGCTTTAGCCGCGGGTTTCCCCGGAGGTGCGGCGGTGATCACGTGCGGCGCAGTCCATTGTAGAGAAGCACCGCCATGGAAGCACCAGAAGCGAAGGACAAAGGAAAGAACAAGGAAATAGAATAGAGACAGAGAGGAAGAAGAGGAAGAAAAGAAACAGACCCTGCTGTTGGGGTCAGTAGGTAGAGGCATCGCCATTAAAGAAAGGGACATGTAGAGAGAGATTCCAAGCTTCGTCGAGTTAGAGAGAGAAACATTTTAGTATTTATTTATTCCAGATTTCTCAAATATTTTATTTTTAGGTCTATTTTAAATTCCTTGGTATACTGATTACTCGAAATATTCAATTTTTTCGTGCATTGTTTGCAAAAAAAATATTTATATCACCGTATGATCAGTGAAGACAAGAGAATAATAGAAATATATTTAGATTATATAAATCAGAATGAATTTTCTTGTATATATTTTATATAATGTTATGAATCGTGATCTAAACATATTATGCCTTTTCTTCAATAAAATTTCGTATAATTGTTAGGAAATTGAATAATTTATTAACAGCAAAATAAGCATCAAAGTATTGGTCACATATGTATTCATTTACACAACTATATATTTAGCCCCTTTTTTTTATATCAATTGTAATTATCAGAGTTTTTTTTTCAAGATTCAGTTTCCATTTTGTATATTTGGATCTAAGTTTTTTTCTTATTTGAATAATATTTTATTTTATTTTTTAAAATATTAATTTTAAAATAGTAATCATGTTGGATTTAATTAATCTAGTTTAAAAAATTGATACCAGTTTAGAATTTTATTAGGATGAATATATATTATATACATCAGTGAATGAATATGTACTTTAAAAAATATAAAAAAATCAAATATAACAAAATTTGAAAAAGGGCATTCTTTTTTCCGAAATGTAAAAGCGGATTTATGTAAGTGGTGTATTTCTTGTGTTCGGATGTGACCGGTATCCGTGTCGGCTAGAGTTGAATTTTGTCTTTTCCTCTTTTATTTATCTAAATAAATAATGTTATACGTCTATAAAAAGAAACATGTTATAAATATGATAAATACGATACAAAATAATAGTTTTTTTTTTCTGAATATTTTTCCCCAGTGAGAGAAACTATTCCAAATGAAAATTCGCAAATTTTCATATGTGATTTTTACCAAGAAAAAGGTAAAAGGGTGAAATATTTTGCCTCTTTTACTATTTTTTTTTAACTCATTATAGTATATGATGTTTTATATGTATTGATCATTTATTGTAGTAAAGTGTGATGCCCGTGAAAAAAGAATAATTGTCCCACAAGTCATTTTCAATTCACTTTTTTTTGGTATATGTCACCATATTTTATGGATTTAAACCAAAGTAAGTTATAAACAGAAGTTGGACGGTAGGAATAAGAGTAAAACTTATAAAAATTTCTAAATTTGTTAAATGATAGAAACTAAAATTTTAAACTTTTCATCTAACAAAATTATTTTTAAATTTATAAAATATGTTATTATGTTATTATAATTTTTAAAATAATTTTTGAATAAATATCGTCAATACTTTGCCTTCTGAGAAACGAGTATCCAACAAATACTCCGATTTTCGGGTATTTGTGTCCAACCCTACAACAAGTAACAATCTCTCGACCAAATACATGGGATAGGATGTCAACCCTGAATCAAACGTTTAAACTCTAAATCCCTCAGATTTTTTATATCTAAAATATTATCTAATATCCATAAATCTATTTTGAGTCAAAATTAAGAAAACATTTGCTGCCGTATAAAAAAAGTACATATATTATTACGTTGAATAGGAAGAGAATATATTTTTTTTTATAACGGTGAGAACTCATAGGCCTTTCAGATACAGTGATCGTGGGACGACGTAAATGCTTGTTGGCTATATCGAAACATTTGACGATAGAAAAGGATGATCATATTCCGCATTTGAGAGAAGGTATGATCTCGGGAGAAAACCTTGATATCGATCTGAATATTGATCTGGTGGTTTTGGTAGAAGTGGACGTTTCGGTATTATTATTCAGAATTGAACCATACCGAACCAAAAAAATCGATATCATTTTCGATCCACCCGACTAGAAATCAGAACAGTAATTTTGTTATAGAATCTCAAAAGACTCGTCCTTGTTTCTATTGAATCTCAAAATTTTCAGCTATTGTATAAACTGGAACTAACCCTAACCAAAAAAAAAAGAAAAAGAAAACTGAATACTGTCACTGATCAGACACACGGCCGTCGGCACAACGGGCAAGAGTTTCTCCGGACGAGCCACTGGTCGAGACAGAGACGGTGAAAGACATGAGAACATGGCAAATCGCTCAGATACTTGCCCGAATCCCCAAATCTCTCCAGACAGATACAGCAGACATCGGATTCCGACACGGAGAAGGTTCTCTCTTCCGTCAACTTCACTTCCACGAAGACGAAGAAGCTTTCGCAACTGGAACTCATCTCCGCAACCGAATCAGCGATCTGCGGGGCTAGGTATTCGCACATCGGGGGATCTCGAAGATCATCGCAGAGGAGCTGGTAGATGTCGCCGGAATCGGAGCTACGAAGATCGAATTTGACGAATTGGGTGGAGGAATTCGGATAAATCCCGATCTTGTTTTCGCGGCCATCTGGGTATTTGACAGATTCCTCAATTTCGCTCTGCACATAAACGAAGACACTGTGTAGGCCTGACGACGCATGGAGCTCCTTCGCGTCCAGGGCAACGTCGATTTTAGTTTGGCACTCCATTGTCGAAAATCTTTACTCTTTTTTTCTGGGAAATCAAAAAACCCTTTCCAGATTTCTCAGAGAGCGAGAGAGAAGAGAGGGCGTCGCACAGAGAGAGAGAGAGTCGCAGAGGGATAGAGTGGGAGAGAGAGAGATGAGAGAATGTAATTGAGCCTATGGATGAACGGTCATATTTTAACTTTGATGACCGTTGGAGATTTTTCCGGCGAAGAAAAAAGGAAAAACAAAGAAATGGAAAAAATCGGAGGAGAGAGTTGTCATTTCTAGACTCGTTTTTAAGAGATCTTATCTTTTCTACATCGATTCATATTTAATTTAAACTAAACAAATTTCATTAAAAAATATATTTAATCATCTTCAAAATCAGATTTATATTATAATTTGACAGATTGTGGACAAAATAGTATAATTTTTATTACACTTTAAAATTCATGTTTTGCGATAATTTTCATAATAATAAGTGCTTTCCTTTTGAATCAAAATGTTAAATCTGTATAATTTTTGCATGGTTAAGTAATAGAGTGAGTATTTGGTATTGGTAATGTAAATGTAAAACTGGATTCAAAATATATACCTGTATTTATATTTAAAATGGATCTGACTTAAAACTCGATTGGAAATAATTTGTATAAATTAAATTAATTGAACCAAAAAAAAAATATATATATATATATATATCTTAAATTGTTTAATATTATATATATATTGATTTATAAATTTACCATTCACACAGAAAAAACGGTTATTTTCAATGTTGGCCACCCCATGCATTCGTTCATAGTCATGCTATCATGCAGAGATGAAGCAGGTTGGTTCGGACGACGTGCCGTTTAATCAATCACGAAGGAGACTGCGTGTCGGTTTACCAAGCGGCAAAATTCGAAACGACGCACATTTGGGCGGAGATGTAGGGAAGCCGCATATTCTTCGCCCTCGACTTAACCGCGAAGACGACGATGTTTTCGTCTTCCTACGCAGCGTGAGCGTGTGCCTGAACTCTCGGATTTGCAGGTTACCGATTTGAATATGCTTTTCTACATTCCCAATTTCTATATTTTTCCGAAGCTGTTTCATCATGATTTTTTTTTTGCGGATCAAACAGAGATGAGCAAGAAAAATCTGGCGATTCTGATGCGCGCGAGGATGAGACCGAATGATCCGACCAAGCTTTCTCTCTCTCAGATACCTGTAAGCTTCTTACATCGCCGATTTTGTAATATAAGATTTGGGTTTCAATCACACGATCTCGTTTGAATTGTTTTTTTTTTTTTGCGTAAAATGTGATTTCCTCGATTACCGATTTCGTTTTTTGGATTTGTATGATTAAATTTTACGTAATTATGCGGCACTCTGATGTTTTTAGTTGCATATTCAAATTCAATAGCTGGATTGATTTAATTAATGCAATGGGTAATGCTGCTTTGAACATTCTTAGCTACAAAAAAAACTTTTTTTTTTATATATATTTCTATTCTATTGAACAACTCGTTTGTAAAGTCCTTCCATGTCTCATAAGCGTTAATGCTCTGGGATCATGAATCTTTTGTTCAATTTGTCTGCTTTGTTCTCCAAAATGGTTGACAGAACGAGATGCCATCTAACCCTCATGGGGATCAATCCGGAGAATACATCGTGCAAAATCCTGTTGGTGGAAACAGAGATCTTGGTGCTTTTAGTAACACGACAAGGTAGTTCTCTCATGACACTTTGAAAAGGAACAGCATTTTGTGTTTTGCAATTTGGTTATCAGTGTAATCTTCCTATGGTTTGGTCAGGGGATTCGATTTGGTTCGTGATACGATGCATTCAGCTATCGCGATGAGTAAAACCGAAGTGTTAGACACTATACTTGATGATTTTCAAGAGGTAAACTATTGCTTGCCTAGATGATTGCAATTGAGTTTTTGTCCTGTTTTTCTACCCGTAGGAGTACTTATGTTCAGAGCTTTCAGGGTTACTTCAGCCTTTCGCATGAAGATCGAAAGAAATTACTGCTTGTTTTGGCCAAAGAATATGACGTAAATCGGCTGCAAGTTCAAGAACTGATCAAACAATATCTAGGACTTGAACTTCCTGGCAGTAAGTTTCGTATATTGTGTATGTTTGTATGGTATCTTTTCCTTTTTTTGTCCGTGTTTCTATCATCACTGACTTTGATGATTCAACACTTCAGGCAATGTAGCAGAATTGCATGTTTCCAAAAGGGAGAGTTTGTTTTCTGCTTTCTATCGCATTGAGCGGAATTTAAGACATGCTCTTCAACCAACATATGAAGTTCTCTTCGAGAGGTTGAATACACACCCCGGAGGGTTGAGATTCTTGTCCATCCTTCGAGCAGATATTCTATCAACACTCGCGTAAGGTTTTGATCCTTTTGATTGTTGCATGATTTTCTGACAATTTGGTAGCATTGCTTAGTCGGATAATTCAAGATACTTGTTACATGCTGAAGTCGTCGGTGATGGTTCTTTCCAATATACAGAGAAGAAAACACATCATCTTTGCGAGCATTAGATTCCTATCTCAAAGAGAGGCTCACTATGTGGCTTAGTCCTGCCACTTTAGAGCTTCATCAACTCACATGGAATGATCCTGCTTCATTGCTGGAGAAAATTGTGGCATACGAGGTATGTATGCATGTGTAATCCTGCTGTTATTTCAGATATTTCAGATGCTAAAACCCTAGTTGTTTCTCTGATAATGTTTGTTTTTTTCCCTAGGCTGTGCATCCGATTAGTAACCTGTTAGATCTTAAAAGAAGATTGGGAGTAGGTCGCCGGTGCTTTGGATATCTTCATCCTTCCATTCCCGGTTAGCAGTTTCTCTGGTCATATGTGCTTGAATGCAGTAATCCATATCGGTTACTTTATGATTGGACGTTTTAGTTCTTAGCGGAAATTTATCTCTTAAAATGTCTATATCTGAATCTCCATTCTGAATTAAGGGATCTTCTCTTCTCATACTGTAACATTTTTATGAAATCGTTCTTATTGCATTTGATATTTATCTAAAGCTCGAATGATGGATAGTGCGATCTGTATAAATTTATGAGAATTTACATAACCAGAAAACTCTTCTTTCCTATCGGGAGTGTTTTAAGAGCTATCATCTGTTGTTTCATTTCTTGTTTTTTCATCTCTAAGTTATGTTATCATGTCGTATCGTAAGCCTGTGTACATTTTCTAACCATGCTTCCTTTTTCAGTTATGTGCAATGAACATCAGATGCTTTCTACTTTCAGGTGAACCGCTTATTTTCATTGAAGTTGCTCTCATGGAAACAACAGCTCAGACAATTCAGGTGAAGTAATCCTTAATGTCTTGTCATCGTTCATTCCTAGATAGGGGTCTCTAAAAGGAATTCCCTTACCACTGACAGGAAGTTTTGTGGGACAATCCTCCCATACCAGAAAACGAAGCAACATGTGCGTTGTTTTATTCCATATCTTCAACTCAGGTATGTGCATTTACTAACTTGCCTTTTGCTTGCGTACATGAGGTAATATATCATGTTTCCGGTTTACTTTATGGTGGAACTTCTGTTAGACTTTATAAGTTCTGGAGTTTAACATTTCTCGAAATCTTGTGCAGCCTGGCCTGGCCGGGATAAACCTCGGGAAGTTTCTCATCAAACGAGTGATCACGTTGGTCAAAAGAGACATGCCCCATATTTCCGTGAGTGCTTTTCCTTTTACGTAAATTTCCGAGCCATGGTTTCTGCTATAAATAGCTGTTTTTCTTCTCGTCGGTCCATTACTTTTATTCAGGCTATGCTTGCTCATATGATACATGTGTTCTTGACAGACATTTGCAACACTGAGTCCCATCCCCGGCTTCATGCAATGGCTTTTGTCAAAGTTGACATCTCAGTCAAGACTTGCGGAATCGGAGGATGGATCATGTACCTTAACCGATACATCTTTGTCCACTTTTAGCGAGAAAATATTGCTGCCAGAAGAAGAACGAGCCCTCATGAGTATATCGGAGTAAGTTTCCATTTAAGGCAGTGGAATTCAGGTGCTTTGGAGAGATGAATCGTCTTCTCGTTCTTGTAAAAGATATACAAAAGCAATCTGAGACACCACACTAATGATCTTATATTTGCAGAGATCCTTCATCCGATAACAATGGCATGGAAATTTTACGGAATTTGCTGTCACTGAAGAACTGCGATTGGGCCACATCGCCTCGTATACTGCCAGTGTTGAAACCTATTCTAACACGTTTATGTGCTAGGTAAGTTTATTCTGAGATTACTTTTGATCCTTTTGCTCTTACTGGCTATTAAAATTTCCCATTATAAGGTCTACACCCAACACTTCAAAAACATGAATTTAAATGTATGGATTTGTAGCTGAGATATAGTGTTACTTAATGTGTGCCTTGATCCATAGGTATCTCCTGCAAGAGAAAAAGCGAGGAAAAGCTCTGGATTCCGTTGCAAACTTCCACCTGCAGAATGGAGCGGTAAGTCTAAAAGCGGTAACCTATGCTTGGCTAGTGACGAGAACTGAAAAGGGTATTCTACAGAAATTCGATAGATAGATCGTAAAACACGATTCGAGATTTCTTGGTTTCTTCGTATAGCGAAAGCTTATATTATATCCGTCGATATACAGATGGTTGAGAGAATAAATTGGATGGCGGACCGTTCAGAGAAGGGCCTTCGCCAAAGCGGAGGCATCATGGTGAACTACGTCTATAGGTAAAAACCGACTGACTTCATCCTTCTGAGCATATCGATGAACCTCGTTCTCTACATTCATGCCCAATTTCTTTGCTTCAATGGCAGGTTAGAGAATATCGAAGAACATGCACATTCATATCTCAGCTCGGGCGAAATCCGCTCTTCACCAAACGTTCAATCCTATCTCGAGGAGCCCAAATCACAAGAATGATCGCTTTTTGACTGGTAATGTCTACGATGTTATTGTTGAGGAAAATGGTTGGATTAAAAGGGTACATATGTATATGTTTTATGTACAACGCATGTATATGTATACGTATACAACGGCCGGCGTATATAACAAAACGTTTATGTGAATATGAGAGAAAGAGACAGGGAAAAACGAGTTCACTTCTCGGACTCGGTCTTCACATGGCTGGTCTCCAAGACGTATTCACGCATGAGTCTTGTGTTGGATCCTTCCACATTCTGCAGGCATGAACACACAAGTGACAACGTAATAATACGTTTACGTGGTTGCAAATGTATGTATATGCACTTACATATACGCATGCATACATATATATGTATGTATATATATATAGGTATAGATGATGACCTTGAAGGAGAGGCGTTTGAGATTCTCCCACTCGAAATCGTTCTTACAGTAAGCCGACCGTACCTGCCACGAGTAATATAATTAGAAATATGTGCTTATATTCGTTCGTGTATATGTGTGTGTGTGTGTAAGAATGTTTGGTAAATGTAAGAAGCAGAGACAAAAATTAAGATTACCTCTAAGATTCGGAGTGCTGCATGGGATCGTTAGATTCCATTGACGTACAATAATTATGAAACAAAGATTAGTTCAATGTTTCATGTACTAACATGTAAATTTAGACAAGGGTTTTCCATGTTTTCATGAAAACAAAAATATTTAAATGATTATTTTCTTTTATAACCGAAATAACGAAAATTTTGGCTACCTAAGTTCATGTGACGGGAAGAGCGACGCATGAGAGCCGCACAAAACTTATCGCCATCGTCCAGAGAGTTCGTTTGCATAAACTCGCTCAAGTCGGCATAAGCTTCGGGGTTATAACTCTTACAAAAGACAGTAACGTGATTGAGTTCCGAGATTCTTGGAGAAATTAATTAATGTCGTGTCATGGAAATTCGGTAATTGAAAGTGTGAAGAAGAACCGAACCGAACCGAACCTCAAGCTGAGCAGACACGATCCTCACTGCAACGTATGTAAAGAAGTGATGAAGATGCTTCGATGCCTTCGCCTCTGGTGACGCTTCTCCAAAGCCTTTTTTATAAAAAAAAACATAAATATCAGTTTTTTTTTTCTCTTATGGATTCTGTAATTTGAAATTCTCATGTCTTAGCTTATGATATCATATATATATATATATATATATATATATATATATATATAATAATATATACGTCCACCATGCTTACCGGGAACGTACATCTTGCAGGAGACACGAGAGGAAGGCGGGGATTTTGTCTGCTTCCACTGCGAAGGAGAAGCAGAAGAAGAAGGGATTTGTGGGAGTTTATTTGGGATAATGAAAGAGATGGGGGAGAGATGAAGAACAGAAGTCGACTCCATGGATGAGCTAAAGATCCTTTCTGCAGCTCTTACTTACGTTGTCTTTAACAATTTTCCTTTCTTGATGATGATTCATATGAAACCACCACATGTGTGTACAATATTGTGTTTTTCTTTCTCTTCTTTTTTTTGTTGTCACATGAAGAAAATATCTCAGAACCCATCACTAAATATCTTCGAGTTCTATCGTGTAGCTGTTGGCAAAAATATGATATATATATATATATATATACATGTATGTATAATATCCCACTTTTACGGGGACGTAATTGTAACTTTGAGAGAAGAAATTAACAACGTGGAGCGGGAGAGCACATTATATAATTATTCAGAGAAAAAAACCTTCGTCTCCAGCAAAATCCGACAAAACACAGAAAGAGAGAAGAGTGAATTTCTAATGCTTTCAAATGGCCGAGGAGCTCCTGGTCTCGGTTACGGCATCCCCAAGGTAAATAGGGTCGTAGCATGCACATACAGGTGTACATCAGCTAAGACAGAGCTAGAAAATCTCTACTTATCAACAATGTAATACTGATTCTTGACAGATTTTTCTGATATGGATTGTCCCTTAGAGCTCCATTGCTATGCATGGAGGAAGATTCATTCATTTTCCTAAGAACCCAATTTCGTTCTGGTTCAAGAATGCATCTGAAGTTCCTTCAAGTAGACCAGACAGGTTCGGTCTGAATCTGAAGAAGAACAGCTCCAACTTGGGTCATTACCTACCCGCAGAATGAACCTCTTTCCCGAACTAGACCCATCTTTCCCGAACAAGCTCCCACATGTAAGACATCCTTTCCTGATCATCCAGAGCCCTAAGCTCGAAGCTTATGAGTTCACTGATGGCAAAGAATACTTACCCAGGATAGTGTGATGGCTCAATCCTGCAGAAGAACACAGATAACTGATATCAATTTATAGCCACTACAAAGAGAAACAGAGATATTTCAGATAAGCTTATGGACAACATCAGATCAGATCATCCCCAGATAAAATTTATGGCCTTTATCCACAAAAAACGATCACATGATGGAGAAAGATGAATTTTTTTAAGTCAGATTCAAGACGAGGTTATTCAATGCGAAATCTCCAAACCCTTCATATGGCTTGACACAGGTATGCAAGGAAAACAAAACCGAAATTCTCACCAAGGCGATCACCAATCACATAAACTACATTACGTGTGGAAAGGAGGAGACGAGAAAGACATAAGATTTACCCTCGAGGATGTCGAGAAGAGGCTGAGAAGAACAGTCACAGACACAAGGAGGGCCAGATGAATGGAGAGAGCTTGCAATGGTCTCATCAACATGCCAATACATTGCCAGTCCTGCGATATACGCTGCCTATCACCACCTTAGATGTCTTCTCTCTCTCTCTCTCTATATATATATAATTATATATGTACATTATACACACACAACCTTATGTCATGTCTTGTTTTGTCAAAAATGGGAAACCTGATAACTGATCTTCTCGATATTTGCCTACTCGCTTGGAAGACCTTGACTTCTAAAACATTAAACCACTGAGACGTCTCTTCATGCTCATTTCATGCAAACTACCATTTTATTCATTTCATTATGTTTTTTCTGTTGTTATTTTGGTATTCATGATTTCATGGTAAATGCCAAATGTATTTTATATATAACTAGGCATTTAATAGCCACGTGACATGAACCTCTCCAACATTGAACATTCAGTAATGAATTAGTTCTGATCAATGTATTCTGCCAAATAAATTTAAATTTGACCCGACAGAGATAAGCATATGAAGAAACCGAACCTGTTACATCTTCTTCCATATTATCTGTCTTGCTTGATTCTGGGTTTCGTCAGTATAGGCAATGCGCCTTCTGATGAATATCATGAAACATCATGAACTGATTGCCTCGTTTTGTGGTTTAACAGTTTCAGTAACGACACAGTCTCCTCAAGACGAGGATGAGAAGTATGATTCGTGAAGAATGTTGTGAGTTCTCCATTGACCTCGATGAAGCTCCATCCCGGGAGCTTTTTCAAGCCGTGAGATCTCATCTGATTCCATGCTTCACCCATATCGCCCCATCTCTTCATCGTGGCAAAAGATTGAGCAAGTCTGACGTAGTGTCCAGCATCTTCTGGCTTCAACTTGGTCATATCCCAACAAATTATATCCTCAATTTCTGTGTTCCCATTAGCACGGCAAGCATCTAGTAGTATACCTAAAACATCAATAGACGGTTCTGAATAGTTTTCTTTGTAGAAATCATATGCTTCTTCCACCCTTTTGGTCCGACAGAGAAGATCAACGACACAAGCAAGGTGTTCATGCTTTGGTTCAACCCCAAAGTCTTTAACCATAGAACTGAATATGTCCAAGCCCTCCTGAATCAATCCATTGTGACTGCAGGAGGAGAGAACCGCGAGGAAAATCACATGGTTCGGCTTCATGCCAGAGCGAAGAAACTCTGAGTAAATCTTTAAAGCGGTCTTTCCTTTACCATGAAAACCATACCCTGAGATGAGTGTGCTCCACGAAACAAAATCCTTCTGCAGGATTGAATTAAAACACCTCTGGGCAACTTCTAAGTAGCCGCATTTTAAATACATATCAACAATGACCGTATCAACCAAGATACAATGCTGAATACAGTTTCTGATAACAACACTGTGAATCACCTTCCCTATGTTGAGAGCTCCAGTGGATGCACAGGTTTGAAGAAGGGATACAACGGTCAAGGAATCAAGTCTTTGAAGCCTTTTTAACTTCATTTCTCTAAACAACAGCATGGCCTTATACAGGTCTCCATTCTGTGCATGTCCCGAGATAATCGCATTCCACGAAACTAAATCTCTGTCTGTCATCCGCTCAAAGACAACCGAACTTTGTTTCAGACGACCACACTTCGCATACATGGTGATTAAAGCGTTTAATGCGGGAGTATCTAGTATGCATCCTTGCCTAACTACATAACCATGGACCGAAGCTCCAAGATCAAAGGAACACAACTGAGCACAAGATGAAAGAACACTAGTTATTGCCTCGCTGGATGGCTCTAATCCTGATTTTAACATTTCGGAGAAAACCATCAGCGCCTTCTCCACACTATCCATCTGCAGAAGCCCAGAAATCATGGCTGTCCAGCAAACTATATCCCTATCTTGAATGAGGTCAAAGATCTGAAACGAAGGTTCCACCTCTCCACACTTCAAGTACATTGTTAACAATGCGGTTCTAAGATGCATATCGATGTCAAAACCAGTTTTTACAATCTGCCCGTGTAAGATTCTTCCCATTTCAAGATCACCTATTGTTCCACACACGGAAAGGGAAGTTCCAAATGTCTGCTGGTCAGGTCTTAGCCCATCGTCTCGTATTCTGTACAAGAGTTTTGAGATTTCGGCCATATTACCAATAAGAGTATATCCAGAAATCATAGAATTCCAAGAAACCGTATCTCTTTGCTGCATTTGGTCAAACAAATCCTTAGCATCCTCGACTCGTCCGCATCTACAGTACAAATTCAACATAGAATTTGCCACAGCTACGTCACATTCAAACCCGTATACCACTGAACAAGCATGCAAACACTGCAACTCCATGATCACCGAAACCCCGCGTAGCATTTCCAATAATGTGACCGAACCGGGTTTAATCCCCCGATTCCTCATCTCTTTGAACAAGGAAAACGCCTCTTCGACAAGTCCAGCTCGTGAGTAACACCCGATAATAGCAGTCCAGTGGACCACATCTCTGTCACGCATTCCATCGAACACTTTCCGAGCATCCTCCAATATCGCGAATTTAGCGTAGAAATTGACAAGAGAAGACGAGACGTAGGGATCAGAAGAGAACCCATTAGCGATAACTTGTTGGTGGGTCGAGAGACCCAACGACAGGAGCTGAAGAGAAGCACATGCTTTGAGGAGACCAGGGAAAGTGAAGGCGTCGGGCGAGACTCTGTCGACGAGCATGGAAGAGAAAGTGGATAGAACTTGTAGGTGATCGCCATTGCAGGAGAAATGGTTGATGAGAGAGTTGAAGGTTTTGGCGGAGTTTAGCAGAGAAGAAGGATTGATCTTTTTATTCATAGCATCATGGCTTAACCGGTGTAACAGGGAATTATATTTTTCGAATATATATAATATTTTATCAATCATGCCACTAAACGGCATTTATCAATTAAGCCAAAAATTAATTGTTGGCTAAAAAACACCAAGTAAAGCATATAAATCATATTAATTTAATTTACATCCCTAAAAAAAGATACCAAAACACATAATTATCTGAAAAAAAAAAAGAAAAGAAAGGAGCGCATACCAATTTTGTTATTTAAAAATCAAACTCCTGTGTAACAAAACAATAAATAAATATACAAAAATATGACTTTTGAATTCTTTTTTTTTTCAGTCGAACCATTAAAAATCGCCCAACTATTAACAATAATTTTAGTTGATTTTTAGTATTTTGGAAAACTTTAAACATATAAATTAAGCGAACCGGCGATATCACTTGTACGGAATTAATAAAAAATTATGGTAGATATTGTTGGACCAAAGGTATAGAAACTATTCTGATTATCAAAAAAAATCTACAAAAATGTGATGGAAATCGAAAGAGAACATGAGACGTCTAAATTAATTAATACGTCATCCACCTAATTCTATTTGGATGATGAAAAAAACGAGTTAATTAAGACGTAATTAATACACTGATCCTCTAAAAAAAATATCAAACGCATAATTTAGAACCATTTTTTTTGGGGGAGAAAGGGAACAATAACTCCTATTATTTGATAATATAATTTATTTAAATTATACTTGTCCAACACTCTCTTCCTAATAATCGTTTGTTATTCACACCGCCTGTGTATATAGGATGGATGTTTCCGTAATCGGTTCGGGTTTGAGACGAAAATATATTGGTTCGATTTTTTCGATTTTACAAAAATATGTATCAATCGGTTTTTATATTATATTCAGTTCGATTCGATTTCGGTTTCGGTTCAGTTCCGGTTTTTAATTTAAAAATAGATTTTTTTTAAAAAAAATTGGTTTTCCGAGATTTTTTAAAATTTGGTTCGATTCAGTTTTAAAAAATTCGGTTTTCTAAAAAATAATACCATTCGAAAATTTAGAACAGTTCAGATAAAAAAAAAAAATTGGTTAGGTTCGCCACCCTGGTATACACTCCATAGTCGTGAGACAGAATAGGCAGAGATTTCAAGCAAAAAGTCAACGAATCATTAAAAGTCAACAACCTAATTGTCTTTGAAAAGCTTGTCGTGGTGGGCTTTCACTGTCACGCCCTTCAAGTCACAGAGAAACTGAGTGACTACTTATTGCCGTAAAGATGCCAACTCATAATACTACTAACCTACAAAAAAAAAATGCCAAGACCATTTCTAAGATTTGAACTGTGTGTGTGCATATATTTGTTATTTTTTTCGGTAATACTATGGTTAACACTAAATCAAAATTTAGAAGTGTATTATACATTATTTTAATTAGTTATCTAATTTTAAATTGAACTATCTAAATATCATTTTAGAAAAAAATATATATATAATCTATTATGCATGATTTATATAGAGATTTTCATTTTTATCATGAATAGAAGTAGAAATTGATAGAAATTTATTTTTTATATTATTCACGGCTATGATCACCGGATCACATGTGGTTTTATATCATTTTTATAGCTCTCTCTCCCTCCTAATTTAGTTTTTTTTTTCTGTTATTGTATCGATTTAAAATATTAAAATCCGTTCGTCATAAATTTTAAAATCTATTATGATAACGATAATGTATCCATATATAATTTGAATTCAATTAAAATTTTGTTCTTATAATTTCAAAGTTGTAAAGATTTAATATTTTTTCGGAATTTCAATTTGTTATTAATTGGTATATACACACACACACACATTACGACCGAAGACTATCGAGGTCCCACGGCTCCGGACGAATAACGGCCCTCCCTCTTAAACGGGATCGAAAGTCGCTCTGCTCATGAGTCATGGGTCGTGTGACACGTGTCAAGATGTTAGGACGAATATCTTGCAATACACGGATAAATACAAGCAATTAAATGCAAACGTGATTCACATATTACGTATTAAATGGCCGTTGTTTCAAATTAGTCGGTCCAAAACTTGGAATCTGAATTTAAACGTCAATATAATCCGTATCTGTACATCTCATCAATCCCTTGTATGTATATAGTGCCATTTTTTAAGTCAAACATTGAAGATGCACGTTAGCGATTACATCTTAGGTGACGTATATTCGGTTGGAAGAATACTTTCTTACATCCAAAATTTTGGCCATATACTATAACCTATACCCAATAGATTACATATATATATATATATATGAGGAAATCAATAGATTTAGGACGAACTATAAATATTTAACTAGTAATTAATTAAGATAAAATTAATGAAATAAAACATTTCGATTGTTTATACGATAAAGAAAACCAAAATTCACCTTCCACAATCAGTCACGTCGGAATAACCGTTATTTTATTTTATTTTGTATGTATGGATTATTAATTTAGTATTTGTTGTTAGATGAATACTATGAATACAGCGGGAAAGAACAATGAAACAGTGAAATCGAAATGAAGACGAAAGAACCCGGATATAATCTTCTAGGCGCGTAGAACACTTTCCTAAAACGTTATTCCCTCCCCTACCGAGCAAAGGAGAAAGCCGAGAATACGTTTAGAGATACAAAGAAGATCCGCAACGATTGATTTGCTCCTCAAACGTTGCCCAAAACAGAAAAACCCGAGAAAGAAGATGAACAGTAAAAGATGGAGAAGAAGTAGCAAGTTTCTTCACCAAAAAAGGCTCACAAATCTCTCAAGATCAATTAGATATCGTATATCAACATTCTCTGACGTTCTTGGCTTTAAAAGCACAAGAGACATGATCAAAAGTTGTATCCATTTAGTAGTTTTCATGCGAAAGGCCGCATTTGTTCATATTACAGACATTTAACACGGTCCGTGTCGAATCTGACACGGCCGTGTTGCACCTAACACGGTCCGTGTTGCACCTTAACACGGTCCGTGTCAAATGTCTGAGAAAAACAGCATTTTCTCAGAGAATTAACACGGCCCGTGTTGAACCTTAACACGGTCCGTGTCAAATGTCTGAGAAAAACAGCATTTTCTCAGAGAATTAACACGGCCCGTGTTGAACCTAACACGGCCGTGTTTGTTACAAACACGGCCGTGTTACATGCCCGTGCAGAATTTCTGCACTTAAATTTCACTACTAAACACAAGTATATACTTTACAAAATACATGTATATACTTTACCAATTCATACTATATCATTTACGAATATATAACTCCTCCACCATATCCGTAATACATATAAACATGAATCACATGAGAGATTTATTAAATCCATCAATTTACTCTAAAATAAACAACAGGGGATTCAAGTGGACTTGAGAATTCTGTTTTGTGGTTGGAGCCCTACAAACATGAATCAACTCTTTTTCGAATGTCATGTTATTAGAGATCTGTTCACATGGACTATGACGAAATGGGGTTCTTCTCCTGCGCAAACTACTTGGATGGGAACTATAGACTGATTGCTAGGGAGATGGGGTTGCAAAAACATATTACTAGGTGGACAACTAATATGGAAAATTGTGGTTTACATCATCTGGATGGAGCGAAATGCGTGGCTGGATATGGGACACTACAAGGACCCCTCGATTATTCGCCGAGACATCGATAATTGTTTCCGCAATAAGATGGCGACCATTAGACATTCAAACAATCTAATGGCAAGTTGTTTACTACAAATATGGTTCTCCTCCCCTTGATCAAGCGCTTCACTGAATAGTCAGTTGCTTAATTAGATCTCTTGCTTTACTACACATGTTTTTCTTCGTCAGAGGATAGATTAATTTTGTAAGCCTTCAAGGTTATTACGTTTCTAACTTTTGTAGAGTGACCAAACTCTTGTATTCCTTACTTCATATATATATAAATACATGCACCTTTTAACAAAAAAAAATAAAAGTATTGTAGTCGTTACCCTTCCTTATCTTCTGACGGAGAAGCAAACAAAGAAGAAGAATGGAGATTTTAGGGTTTTTTTCTAAATTTTTTAATCAAAACGATCCGGTTATTAAATTGTTATTCAATTAAACCGATTTGTACAATATGGCTTATGACATGGATGTTTATTAGAATTTTTAAATACTGAGTCATCACGTTTTTATTTGATTCCGTTATACTATTAAACGTCGTCAACAATAGATGGTTTATTTGCTAATAAATCAAAAGTTTAGGTATTTATATAAGATTTTTAAAAAGTTCAAGTATTTATATGAAAATTTTATAGTTTAGGTATTTATTTGAAATTTTTATAAAAGTTTAGATATTTATATACGATTTTTTTTTTTTATAAATCTTATATACTTTTTTTTGTTTTTTTACCAAAGGTGGTATTCCTATATACCTTAGAAGAGAAGGATTGTGTTTCCCCTAATTTTAGAAAGTGATATATCAAATTTGCGAGAGAATATTTGGATCATGATATCATATTGACTATAATAGTTTAAAGAGCGTGAGAGAAGAATATTCAAATAACATATAATATAAAATATCATCATGATCATATTATCATATAAAACAACAAAATCTAAATTCATGTTATAATTTGTTTTAACATGAAATTAACAAATAAAATGACTTCGCAAGTAAATATTCTCCTCTTCAAAGTCTATAACATATAAATCTTTAAAATAATAAAACAATGACGAAACAAGTGAAAATAATAAACAATTATTAAATTAGAAATATATATATACACAAATATATATAAATGAGAATGTATAAGTGATTTGATTCGATTATATTGGGTTTTAAAAATTTATAATCAATTGATAATTTGATTCGATTTAATAACCAAAATAACCGAATCAAATGTCAACTACTACAAGATACCAGTCCATCTGATTTGGTGCGCTTGTACCAAATCCGATCGTCATAGTCTCGGTGATTAAAACCCAGATATTTTACTTATATACTAGCACATAAATATATACTAGCATATATGTTGAGAGAAAATAAACCCAGAAAGTAATAATTAAAACACAGCACCAAACCCCGAAAACATTTCATGAGATTTCCTATGCAACTAACTTTTTTCCCTTTGGGTGAAATATCTTTTAGCATTTACATATTGATGGTAAATAAAAACAACAGACTACAAGCGGAAAAAGTAAAAAGAATAAAGGAAAAGAAAAAAACGAAGAAGCAAATCTAGAAGAAGAAGTTCTAAGGCAAAGATGAAACTGAGGGCCGGTGATCTTGTCTTTCTACTTCCACATGTCTTGGAGCTGGACCGAACATGCTCAAGAACACCTGACATCAATGCATTTGAAGAAAATTTCTTTTAACACAAGAACCATGAAATTACTGATGTATTAGCTAAATAATCTCCTCAAAAAAACATTTTAGTATTTCTGAAACATGATCGACACATTAGACATAAAAAAAATCATTTTTTGAAACACAATTTGTCAAAGTAATCTCACTCAGATGTTTCTCGATTGATGTATTAGGCTCTGACGATTTTTATGATAACGTTTTAATCTTCATTACCATGATTCCTATGGTTTAAAACTAAACGATATGTGATTATAAAAAAAATAATTAACAATACGAAGTTAAATTTTTGAAACCGAGGGCGGAGCTGCAAATTTTTAAAAAATAGCGTATTTTGTTAAGATGCACAAAAATAAATTAAAATTAGCAACTGTTGTAAAATTTGTTAAAATCATATTTTTGCAATTTGGAAAATATATTTTAAATTATTTAGTTTTATGATTAAAAAATGTGTTAGTTTCCAAAAAAAATCTTTTTTATTCTGTAGGGTGTTATTTGGCTTACACTAGAAAATTTGGGGCATTAATCATTTCAAGAAAGATATTAGAAACAAGAGAGACACAAACACACGAAGGATGTTGGGAAGACTTACAGGTAAAAAGACAAGGCCGTGCAAGAAGCCAAGGAGGACTAATGCAAGATACATCTTGAAGTAGTAAACCTGCAAGACAAAACAGTTCCGGAACGAATCAGATTCAGTGAAAAGGTGATGTATTTCCGACAATGATGCGAAAGAAATATCTGGGATCGGTTAACGTTTCACAGGAAAAAAACAAACGCATACCACAAAGACCTCTGATCTTGCGAAACCGAGCACAATCACTCCAACTAACTTTGTTAGCGTGATTCCGCTGTTCACAAAATACATCAAAAGAGAGAGAGCCTCTCCCTTATTAGCCTCGGGGGAATCTTATTAAAACTTTTCTTCAGCATCGAGAAGGCTATGGCCATTCGTGAAACTGTACCTGAAAACCGAAGCTCCCATGGTAGCGAGTGCCTCTTTCATACGCTGGTTTTTGTCCCCCGAGCTTACCTGTTCATCACAGAAAATATGTCATTTTCAGCTAAAAATTCATCCACGTTGTAAAATTGACAAAGGGATGGTGGCACTGACCGAGAATGCGTGAGTTATGTGAACACAGAACTCGACAGCTATGCCAACCGACATGACAAGGTTGACAACCGAGAGTGCATTCAATTGTATATGCAAGACCGCCATTACCCCCTGTTGCGTTTCACATCATATTCACATATATAAAACTGCATTAGCAACCAAATCTATGACAGAAGCTACATGTTTTTCATGAAAAATAGACGATGAATTAACTACCAGTAGATCAATGATGATCATAGCGATGACCAGCAAAATAATTGCCGAGCTCCAAAAGCTGAGTTAAACGACGAAGAAGAAAAGGAGAAGAGAATAGAAAGGTTCAGAAGAAGAACATATTTAGAGAGAAACAAGAAGTGATGTCCATAATTTAGAAGCTTTACCTGCATGTGATGACTAAACAGACAACAAAGACGGCACCTGTAAAATCACATAGAACACTCAGAACTAAATCATGGCAAAGACCCGAGAAGGCGAAAAGAACAGCACATGTCCCTTTTGATTGGTGTGAGCGACATTTTTAGCAACTAAAGATGCGACATAGAGATGGGTGTTGTAGCTTTTACTTACCGATGGCTATGGAGAGGTTGATCAATGCCGTCTTCCATATGTCAAGATATTGCTCAAAGAACATGTAAAATACTGAATATGGAAAGATCTCCATCTGAAAATAAAATTCACACATTAATCAGTTAGAGAGGCCCATTAAGAATTTTTTTCCAGAAAGCTTCAATGGCAGTTGATGAATTCCGTGATGATGAGGTTATTTAAGCAGAGATTTGAGAGGGAAGATATAGAAGGAAAGATGGTAATACAAAAGAAGTTTCTGGCTTTCATTTTTTTTTCTTAACTCATTAC